AATTTATTTGTTTTTTACGTCATAATTATTATATAAAAATTACATATAATTTTTTATATTATTATATCATTATAATTTTTTATATAAATATAAATGCAGTTATAATTAGGAAAAATATTTAATGTATTTAATATGTACTAAATTTACTAACATTTTCAGCCACCAATAGGAGTGTACTATTTAACATGTTTGACCATATTTAAAATGATTCCCCAGCTAATATCCTTGTTGGTTATAACCGTTGATTGTTTTTGTGTAGTTATGGTCACTATGTGGAGGGCACGGGCTCTGTCCTGCAGTCCTGTGTGGATGTGGAGCTAGAGACCGTGTTTAAGAACCTGGAGCTGCTTTCTGAAGAAGACAAACTAAAGCAGCTTCTTCAGTTAAAGCTGAGATACTTCACACCCAGAGAGATCGCCAACCTCATGGGCTTTCCTGCAGATTTCAGTAAGACTTTGACCCCATTCACCCCTCACAGCACACAATAAAATCACATGAATTAACAGAAATCTTCTCAAACCTAACATTAATATAAACAGATGTGCATAGATGTCCTTTTATGATGTAAGATTTCAGCAACATAAGCTTTAAAGTCCACTTTGTCATTCCACTGGAGTGTGAAAGGTTAATAAATAACTTCCCATTATTCACTCTTGGCTTCCATGCAGATAATAAGCTGTTACAGGATTTGATTCGATTCAAAAACAGCTGCAAATGATGTCAAGAGTTTGTTTTTAGACAGACTCCTAAGCATTTTACCATATAATAGTTTTTTTTTTGACGAGGTGTTTTAAGGGCGTACTGAGCATTTAGTGAAATATATTACATTATTGTAGTTGTCTATGAAATGTCATTCACTGGCCCTCATGTTGTTTGTACATAACCCATTTTTTTATATATTGTGTCAATCTGTTTTTTATTATTTTTATATTTTGTGTGTTTCAGCATTTCCAAAGCACATTTCCGTTAAGCAGCAGTACCGTGTGCTGGGAAACAGCTTGAACATCCATGTGGTTTCACATCTTATACGTCTCGTGATCTCAAAATAGACATTACATGGACTGAAAGAAAGCAACCATGTACAGGGAAAATTTATGTATAATGTATATATAATATCTTTTTTAATGTTTTTTTTTTTTTTCAAATTAAGGCTATGTCTATTGTTGGATTTTTTTTTTTCTCTTCTTTTTCTGAAAATTTGTATATTAATAAATAAAATGTTATTTTTACTGAACATTAGTTTTTTTTAATTATTGTCACAAAGTGTGTGAAATTACATATTTTCCTTCATTTGATTACACAAAAACAAAAGATCAGTGGAAGTATAGATTAATAATAATATAAATGTATATACATGTAAATATTTTCTAAATATATAATGAATGTGTGTATTTATATATACATAATAAATAAGCACAGTACACATACATATATTATGTAAACAAAAACGTTTATTTTGGATGCGATTAATCGCGATTAATCGTTTGACAGCACTAATTAAAATGTTTTAAATAGCTGATTATATTAGCTTTAATGGTCATTTACTGTGAAGCTGTTCATATTCAGAGAATGAGCCCTAAGCAGCAGTTTCAGTCTTAACTTTGGTTACTGATCTCCAAAAACATGTGACAGCCACTGACACTTGACCAATAAAGTCAAATCGCTGGCATGCAGCTGAGTTAAATGCCCTCTAGACAGTTACGTGTTCTTTATGAGTGATTTTAGGAAATGCAGTGGCGTTAAGACTCCTTGGGTCCAAAGTGCATCTCTGGCTGCTTGTGTTTTAGGCAGGTTTAGGTGTGAAGGTACAGTACAGTGTCTGATGAGCGTCCTGGGACGAGTTCTCTCAGCATGGCTCGGACACTGAGCTTCTCCTGGCTCTTAGTCTTTCTGCTCTTCCTCTCTGGACTGCAGTGTGACCATGGTGGTAAATCTAACAACAGGCAAAAAAGGGACATCAGCACTGACCAGTATGTATTTTAAATTCATTATTTTATGTTTGCTTGAAAGATTGATACGTTGCCGTGTTTGAGACCACCTGAAATTTGAATAGATCAGTTCTCATAGTTTCAAACGCTTGGATGGGGTTTGTTTTGAGTTTTCCCTGCTGCAACTCTCTGTATAATTTTGTGAATATTTTGTGCTTCAATGTGAAGATGGTCATGAAACGGATGATGTTATTGAACAGTATAGATTGTTTTTAAACAATAAAGGTTTTTAATTCTGCTGCAAGTTAAAAATTAAAAGTGTCCTACCTGGTAATTGATTTGCAGGCCTCGTATGATATCAGAAAATGGTCACCTCACATTCTCTGCTGGCTACAGCAAAGACATTCGCTTCACAACCTCAGGGACAGGAAGTGTGAAGGTGGGGGCCGAGGATCTCATCCAGCAGATAAATCAGGTGAGCTCATGATGAGTTTGACTGAAGCATCAGATTTCTGAGTAAAAATATGACTCATATTAGATGAGCTAATAATTGCAAGACTTGAGGCTTATGTTATTCTCAGAAAATGAGAATTTGATTAAAAATAAAAATTCCAAAATGTCTGTAGGGTTTATCATTTTATTTTTTGTTTTGTTGATTTTGTTTTTTATTTATTTTTTATTTTATTTTATTGAGTTCTTTGGTTGTGTTTTTTATTTTATTTTGTGTTATTGCTTTTTGTTTATTTTTTACTTTGTTTCATTGTCTTTTTGTGTGAATTTTGTTTAGGTTTGATTTGATGTTTTTTTGTTTTGTTGTTTTATTTTGACTTGTATTATTTTGTTTTGTTTCTTTTTGTGTGCATTTTGTTTCATTTCATTTCATTCCATAATTGTGTTTAATTTTGATTTATTTCATTTACATCTCATTTTCTTTATTCTAGTCAGCTCAGAGCAAGCATTTTGTCTGTTATTGAAGCACTTTGCAATTTGCTAAATTGTGCTCTTTTTATTTAATTTTGTTTTATTGTTTTTTGTTTATGTTTACTTTTTTTTTATTTTATTGTCTTTTTTGTATGCATTTTGTTTAGGTTTAATTTTGTTGTTTCATTTTGACTTTTTTTCTTTTTTCTTTTTGTGTGCATTTTGTTTAATTTAATTTCATTACATAATTGCATTTAATTTGGTTTTATTCCATTTACATTCAATTTTCTTTATTCTAGTCAGCACAGATCAAGCATTTTGTCTGTGTTACTGAAGCACTTTGTATCTGGGTAAAGTTTAAAAAAAAATTAATCAAGTTTTAATCAATTCTGTTCCAGATCAAAATGAACAAAGATGACATCGACACCATAAAGAACAGTGGTCCTTCTCCGGATATTACGAACCAGCTCAATCAGCTCAACACCAGAGTGACGACGCTTGAGACAAAAGTTCAGACAATAGAACAGGTGTCGCTGTAATCATCCATTTCACTTGAGGATTATTGCTCATATGATTAAAGGCCTTCCATTTAAGCCGTTATGATTTAAACTCAGTTTTATGGCATTCTGTATTTCATAGACAGTGCAGCGGAAGACGTGCAGCAGCAATCCATGTCAGAACGCAGGAACCTGCTTGAACTTGTTAGACGCATTTCATTGCCTCTGTCCTGACAACTGGCAGGTCAGTCATTCAGACATCCTTCTGTCCTTCTGTCCTGTTCATATGTCATTCTGATTGCCACTTGGTTCAATCTCTTTACAGGGTCCCACATGTGCAGTGGATGTTAATGAGTGTCAGGTGTTAGCAGGAACTCCGCTGGGCTGTCAGAACGGGGCCACATGTGTGAACACACCCGGATCTTTCACGTAATCCTCCGTTATTTCTCTTGAGTGGGGTTTTTAGTGAGATTTTTATGTTCATATTTTACTTTTCTTTTGTTTATCAGCTGTACCTGTACTGCAGAATGGTACGGTCCACACTGTACATCTCGCTATGATGACTGTGCAGGCGGAAGTCAGGATCTGTGTGTTCATGGCTTGTGCATCGATTCAGACAGAGTCAATCCCAATGAGGTGATTATGTGTATTTAATCTCAGTTTTCCACATACATTTGGATGTACAAATGAAGTACTCATCAGTCAATGTTTGGACAGTGAAAAACTGTAGTTCACCCCAAAATGAATATTCTGTCATTATGCACTGTACCCTCATGTCATACCTGTTAAGACTTTCTTTTTCCATAGAACAAAAAAACAAGAAATTTTAGAGGATTTTACTCATCCTAATAAGGACCTTTAAGCTTCAAAATAAATGTGATATTGTCATAAAAGTATCATTAAAGTGGTTCATACAACTATATTCCATGTCTTCTAAAGTCATAAAATAGCTTTGTGTGGTTAATATGCCAAAATGTAAGGCATTGACACCCTCCTTATCATTCCATGTGATTTTATCATGATCTGTTGAAGATAAAAGCAGATGAATGGGACATTACCCTTTTACGTAAAATTTCCAGTCTCCAAAAATGACAAAGAGCACCATTAAAAACTAGTGCATTTGACTATAATAGTTTTAATTGGAGGAAAAGACTAAAATTTCAGTCTATTCTTCACAAGTGTTATCATATGACCTAATATTAGTTTGGGGTCTCTCCTGCTCACCAAGGCTGCATTTATTGGATCCAAAATACATTGAAAACCGTAATATTGCGAAATAGTATTACAATTTAAAGTAACTGTTTTCAATTTTAATATATTCTAAAATGTAATTTATTCTTATGATACATAGCTGAATTTTCATCGTCATTACTCCAGTCTTCAGTGCCACACGATCCTTCAGAAATCAGCTGATTTTCTGATCAAGAAACATTTCTTATTATCATTTTTTTTTTTGCTGCTTAATATTATTGTGGAAAGAGCAGTGTGAACATTCTGCTCAACGTCTCCTTTTGTGTTCTACGTAACAAATAAAGTCATACAGCTTTGGAACAACATGCATCTCTTTAATGTCTCTTTTCAGCCCAAATATAAGTGTATCTGTGATGCTGGCTGGATGTCTCCTCCCGGAGAGTCGGCGTGCACGGCTGATGTGGATGAGTGCGGCCTCCCGAACAAACCCTGCTCCACAAACCCCCCTGTGCAGTGCTTCAACACCCTGGGCTCGTTCTACTGCGGCGCCTGCCCTGCAGGTCAGACCACTCAGCCAAGCTGAGCCACGTCACATATGATTATTGCCAAGATATCCATATATCAATCATTTATCTTTTCTTAGATAGTTTATGTAAAATATTATTGGGTGCATTTACGTTAAAGGCATTTAATAGCCTAACAGATTCTTAATAAGAACATTATTTCATGAAGTGAATTCTTTTGGTTCCTCCAGGATGGCAGGGTAACGGTTACAGCTGCCAGGATGTCGACGAATGTGCCACAAACAATGGAGGCTGTTCTACTTCCCCCATGGTGCCTTGTCTCAACACCATGGGCTCCTTCCACTGCGGCCAGTGTCCTCCAGGTTTAGCTCACATCCTGATTCTCATGCAATTTAAAATAAGACCTGTTGTCTTAACAAGAATAGTTCACCCAAAAATGAGAATTTGTGCAGTGCTGTACAAAATTTTGGGGTTGGTAAATTTAAAAAAAATGTTTTTAAAGTCTCTTATATTCACCAAGGCTGCCAAAAAACAGTAATACTATGAAATATTATTATAATTGTTTTATAACTGTTTTATATTGTAATATATTTTAAAATGTTATTTATTCCTGTGATGCAAAGGAATTTGATCCTTCAGAGATCATTCTAATATTTTGATTTGCTGATCAAGAAATATTTATTATTATCAATGCTGAAAATAGTTGTGCTGTTTCATGTAATAGAAAGTTAAAAAACAGCATTTATTTGAACAATATAAACAATCTAAATGTAACTATCACTTTAATCAATTTAATGCATCCTTGTAAAAGTATTAATTTCTTAAAAAAAAAAAAAAAATCTTTTAAGTGGTAGTATGCTGTTTTGAAACTTTTATTACTTCAATTTTTTTTTTTACAAGTATTTTGTCTGTCATTTTCCATGAATGAGCACTGGGTCTGTCAATCTCCAAAAAGCACCATAAAATTAGTCCAATGGACATGTTCACTATATTCCAAGCCATACAATAGCTTTGTGTGAGAAACATTCTGAAATGTCACTTGTTTTGGGTGAACTATGCATTTAATATCTTAATATTCAGAATAAGAATCATTTCTAGTTCATAATTTCCCTCTAGAGATTGCTAGGAAATTGTAACATGCATATTTTTAGTACATCTCACATGTTTGCTGGTCCTCTGTCCTGCTTTCAGCACAGGCTGGCCTGTAAAATCCTGCTGAATCATGGTTTTTGCTCACTGTAATATGTTTCAAACGAGAGACAGATGCTTGTGTGATCTGAATTTCATTATATTCCCTCTGGGAGAGATGGAGATAGAAAGCTAGGAGAGGTGGAGAGATCCATTAGCTGGGTTCATTGAGGACAGTGCTGTCTGCGAGTCCTGCTAATATATTCAGCTTTACAAGTCTCAGTTGACTGCTAGATTGCAGAGAAAGACCAGACTCGCTGAAATGATTGGGCTAAAATAGCCATTAAGTGTAAGATGAGACTGCTGACCCCATGTGTGTGTCCTCAGGCTATGAGGGAGACGGGAAGACTTGCACTCAAGCTGACATCTGCTCCACCAACAATGGAGGATGTTATCCACTGGCTACCTGTACTTCTACTCCAGGTACACACACACACACACACACACACACTGCACACTTTTACTGTAGTTATTCTTTACAGCAGCGCATGACTTGTAGCATTTATGTTATATACAGGATCAATAAAAAGGGTGTTAAACTTTAATTGTTGTGTTGTAACCTCCTGATATAAAAGATATTGTTGCTATATGTGTCAATTTTTACAGGTTTGTTTGTTTTAGTCATAGTGTTTGTCTTTTGATGGAAATATTCTTATAATTTGATCAATATTTGGTCATTAATTTCAGTCAATTTTATTGTGACTAAAAGCATCTAATTCTAGATAATAACATCTTTGTTGACCAAAAATGGCAAAATCAAACCAATTTTGTTTTTAAATGAACTTTGTCATTTTACATTTTGAACAAGTAAAGACTCATAACATAAAATACAAAACTAGCACATGAAAATAAAACCTATAAACTATATTTTACAACTATATAAACTACTTAAAAAAAAAAAAAATGCTGTGGATTTTAATTGTTATTCATATGTAATTTTACGTTTATGTTGTGTATCTTTAATTATTTTCTTCATAATCATATTCTTTCTAGTTTTTTTTAAACATTAGTGTGTTGCTAATGTGCATAATATGCTGTTTATATACAGTTTATATATTTTGTCAATATTTTGTCATATTCATTAATTCCAGTCAGTTTTACTCAGACTAAAATGCTTATTTAATTTGCTTGTTTAATAAATACAATTTTGATGGTGAACAATAAACCATTTTTTTTTATTTATCTTTGTATATATAGCAAAAGCAACATGTAAAAACTATATTTTTTCCTGAACACTTTTTTAATAAAATGCTGTGATTTTTAGTAGTTATTCATATCTGTAATATTATGTTGTGTATCTTTGACTATAGTCTTAAAATCATATTCTTTATAGATTTTTCTTCAAAAACATTAGTGCGTTGTTAATATGTTTCTAATAAACAGTTTTTGTTTTTTGTTTCCCTCAGCAGTATGTTTGATTTAAAATCATGAATTTATTGCCAGGATGTGTGTTTTTTGTCTCATTTTCGCTATTGGCAAATCTGCATATTGATGATGAGTAGAAAAATCATCATCTCTGAATTACATTATGAATTGTTCTCCTTCCAGGAAGTATTATCCCATCATGCACCTGTCCTCCTGGTTATGTGGGTAATGGCTATGGACCTACGGGCTGTACTCAGATCAGTGACATCTGTGGAACTAGTAATCCTTGTGTAAATGGTCAGTGTGAGGTAAGTGTTTATCTCTTATAACTTCCCCTCTCTGTTCTGTTTCCATGAAACCACAGCAGTCAGCATGTTTTTTCCCTAGAATACAGCAACTGGCTACATCTGTCGCTGTGACCCGGGCTGGGCAGGGCAGAATTGCGATCAGAACGTGAACGAGTGCTCTAGCAATCCCTGCCAGAACGGAGGCACCTGCACCGACGGCATCAACGGCTACACCTGCACCTGCACCTCCCAGTGGACGGGCCCGCAGTGCCAAACTCCACAGCAAGGTGTGTGTTATTGGAGAAGTGATGCATGTGATAGTGTGTGTTTATCTATACAGTAACATCATGAACTTTTATGTGCATCAGAGTGTGGAGGAGTTTTGGAAAGTCCAGCCGGCACATTCAGCTACCCTACGAATCCTGGAACGGGCGATTATGATCACCAGGTCAGCTGTGCGTGGGTCATCAGAACCGACCCCAGCAAGGTTAGTAAAGATACATCAATGACCTTTTTAAAAATCCAGTCCATGCTGAATGAAATCCGATACTTGTTTCGTGCTAATGTTGGGGTGCTGATTCAAAAATAGTGCCTGTTTTGATGTGCATTTCATAGAATTTTTGCTTTCAACAACCATTTGTAGGGTGAAGAAGTCTTGTATTACCCCTTAGTTACAGAAAAACTGCCACAAAGACATGGTTCGTTTCTTGCTCTGACAAACAGTTGTTAGCTTACTACTAGGGCTGCACGATTAATCGCATGCGATATTTAACGCGCATCTTATCAGTAAAGCCGGTTCTGTAATCAGCGGTAAATCTCCATCACCTGCGTGCTTTCACATTGAGCAGCATTAACTACACAGAGCCGTTGTTCACTGACGAGCTGCGCTAAACCACGTTCATATTCGCGCGATTTTTTGCGCTTCTCATCAGTGAACAACGGCTCTGTGTAGTTAATGCTGCTCAATGTGAAAGCCCGCAGGTGATGGAGATTTACCGCTGATTACAGAACCGTCTTTCTGACAAGATGCGCGTTAAATATCGCATGCGATTGATCGTGCAGCCCTACTTACTACTATTTTTTCAGTTCTCAGCTGATCAATGAAGACATTATTTTATGACCAGTGACAGAAGAAAATGCATACATGACCCAGATGTTTTCTGTACTACATCCAAACAGTGACAGAAAATTAAAAATTTTGTGAAAAAAGCTTATATGTTTATAAACTTATAATGTTCTTATAATAACTTATAATGTAATGTTCTTTGAGTATTGGAACACGTTTTTCCACTCCTTTGCCGATTAAAGTTAAATGATACATTTTGAATACTTTTTTTTGACATTTGACTGATACATATGTAATTTGAAAGATTCTTATTTTGTGAAAAAAAACTGTACATAATGGAAAGTTTTAAATGATTTAATATTTTTTTTACCTAAACATTATCAGAATAGGTAATATTAAGCCTTTTGTGATGATGAAAAAATAAAATTCAAACCATTTAAAATTTTGAAGTAACAAAATTCAAAATTTTTCCCATTTAACTTTTTTTTTTTCTATTTTCAACAAGTACAGAACCGTAACGTAAAATACAAAACTAACACTTAAAAAAATGTAAACCAAACATGCATATAGCAAAAGCAACATATAAAAACTATTTATTTTCTTTGAAAAATTATTGATATATGTGTAATTTTACGTTGTCTACCTTTGATTGTATTATTTTAAATAATCATATTCTTTCAAGATTTTCCCTCAAAAACGTGTTGTTAATATTTCTAATATACTGTTATTGTTTTCTTTGCAGATTGTAATTTAAATGATACATTTTGACATTTGACTGATAAATGTATAGAATTTGAAAAACCTTAATTCTTACTTTGTGAAAAATGTTTACGTTTTTACTGATATTTTTCAACTCACCGTCATCAGATTATGTAATATTAGGCCTTTTTTGCAAATCAGCAGAATTTTTTTTCTCTCTAGGTTTCATAGATGTAATCTATAGAATTAAACTTTGGGTTTTATTCTTTCTTGTGGTCAGTAATCTGTTGTTTTTCCCAGATTCTGCGGATTACCTTCCCTTTCTTTGACATCGAGAACAGCGCCTCGTGCAACTTCGATTTCCTGCAGGTCCACGATGGCGAGAGCGCCTCCGCTTACATGATCGGGAAATACTGCGGCACTGCCGCCCCAGCCGAACTCTTCAGCTCCCACAATTCTCTGTACTTCTGGTTCCGCTCTGACCATTCAGTCAGTGGTCGTGGCTTCACAGTGGCCTGGCAATCGCAGGCACCAGGTAAACCAAGAATGCCCTTATATTAAGATCACATTAGTGAAATGTCTCAGATCCAATTGTTTATTGTCAATAGTGTCGCGATGTATGAAGCACAGCTCAAACAGAAGTCACTTTCAAACCAAGCAGCTTTCTGTTGGTCAATGTGGCGAATCAGCATGATCAGCTTGAACCCACTGAGAAAACTGCATTGGGAAATCTTTCACCCTCACCTGAAAATTTCCAGTTCCTATTGAAATGACCAATTTCTGCAAAAATGCATGCCAAAAAATGTGACTGCATTTACTGATTGGTCCAAATGATTGCCTCTCTTGTGATATTAGCAACTATTTGAATTTGTATCTTATTTCAATACTCCTTTCTTTTCCAGTGTGTGGTGGGGAGTTGACCAACACATACGGTGACATCAAGTCACCCGGGTACCCAGGTAACTATCCACCTAACCGGGATTGCTATTGGATGGTGAATGTGAGCCCTGGTCTGCTCATCACATTCGCTTTTGGCACCCTCAGTCTGGAGCACCATGATAACTGTAACTTTGACTACCTGGAGGTAAAGCTCGTTACATCTTGGATTCATTTTAAAGGTGTTTTCTGTGCGTATGTGTTAAAATGCTTGAGTTTTCGGATTTATTTTGTAGCTCAGAGACGGACTGCTCCCAGAAGACCCGGTTCTGGGAAAATACTGCAGTACAGCATCACCACCACCTCTACAGACGACAGGACCATCAGCCTGGATCCACTTTCACTCTGATTTCAGCATCAGCGATCGGGGATTTCACATTACATACACTACTTCACCATGTAAGTAAAGCCCATGCTGTCAAAACACAGAGAGAGAGGGGGATTATAGGACATTTTAGGGAGTATAATAGACCTGTACACTACCGTTCGAAAGTTTGGATTGGATTTTCTTTTTTTTTTACATTAATGGGCAAATTAATGTTTCTGAATTGATGTTTTTCGCTGCATTTATTTGATCAAAAATGCAGTAAAAACAGTAATATTGTGCAATATTATTACACTTTAAAATAACTTTTAATATGAATTTTCAGCATCATTACTCCAGTCTTCAGTGTCACATGATCTTTCAGAAATCATTCTAATATGCTGATTTGCTGCTCAAGGCTCATTTCTTATTATTATTAATGTTGAAAACAACTGTGCAGCTTAATATTTTTGTGGAAACGGTAATACATTTTTTTAGGATTCTTTCATGAATAGAAAGTTCAAAGGAACAGCATTTGTTTGAAATAGAAATCTTTTATAAATACTTTACTGTCACTTTTGATCATTTGTGAACAGTTTCCTGAACACAATTGAATGTTACAGCACTGTTTTCTTGTTTGCAGTCATAATGCATTAGCAGTAATTCCAGTAACTACATGATGGATCATTTTAACAGATCCATCAGTGGAATACTGTCCTTTCAAATGCTCATAAAACAGTTTATTGGAGTTATATACATATTAAAACTGAGCAGTCACATTGCAAATGTTGTAAACTCAGAGAGGAACATGATGCTTGGATCAACACTGGGTTCAAATGGGCAAAGCCAGGTGTCCTGCAATATTGGGATGAATTGCTTGAGTGTAATGCAATTTACTCTGTGCCATCAGCTGACCCGGGCTGTGGAGGCGTCTTTACAGACACAGAAGGCATCATCATCTCTCCTAACTGGCCTAATAACTATGCTCACAATAGGCAGTGCATTTATATCATCAGAATGCCACGTAGTGAACAAGTGGCACTTAACTTCACCCACATGGACCTGGAAACTCATAGTGGCTGTCTTTTTGATTTTGTTGAGGTATGATTTGTGTAATTAATGTTGATGAGAGGAGAAGTAAATAGCATTTTGATCTTTTAACATCTCCATTTCAGTGGCATTACCAAGTCAAATCTCTTTTAGGTTCGAGACGGGACGGGTGAGACCGACCCACTCATTGGGAAGTACTGTGGCTCCACCCTGCCAGCACCAATATTGTCCACCACTAATGGACTCTGGATCCGTTTTAAGTCTGACAGCTCTGTGTCCCGTGCTGGCTTCAGGGCCATGTATGAACTTGGTGAGACACTGAAACCTCCTTTTTATGTAAAGCGTATGACGCAAACTGAATGCCAAAAAGCACTGAAAAGTAAAACAGTAAAAACAAGGCCAGAAACATACTCTATGCAAACATGCAAATGCACATTACAAGCATTTGGTCTTATTTTGACGTGGTCCCTTTACATTAAAACGGAAGTAGCGACAGATCTTCCATATTGTGATGGATGTTTTTAGTAATTTTCATTTTTTTTGTGCATCAAGTTAAACTAAAATAAGAAGGTTTTCAATATTTATTTTATTTTATTTCAGTTAACATTTATTTTATTTCCAGTAACAAAAATATCTTTAATTTTTCCATTTTAGTTTTAGTCAACTATAATAACCCTGATGTGTGCTTACACTGCACTATGAATTTTGTTATGCAATGATGTGAAATTTAAGTATTTGCGTTAGCATTCTTGTGCAGAGGATGTTTTGGGCCTAAATGCATTGTCTTAAACACATGAGATTGTTGATAATATTAATTATATTGCATTTTACATTTTAAGTGTTTTGTTTTTTTCGGAATATGTGTGATTCATTTGGTGGAACAATGTATGCTGCAAAGAAAACACGCTCCCTAAGGGGCCATTCACATAGAACATGTTTTGGCAGGGCAGTGGGGAAAAAAAAGCAAGGTCTAGAGATGCAGTTTTTAAAGCTTCAACTTCTTTTGACTTTTGAGTGCTGTGGTTTTAGAACGCTGTCATGTAAGAGACGCTCCAAAAGACGAGACATGAGTGCAACGCTCAATCACATCCATACATTTTTACATAAAAACAAAACCATGATAAAGCAGCACTGGGGAATGCAAAACCACATTCTGTGTGAACAGCCCCTAACAGTTTACCTTACTTCCTGTGTCCTGTCTAAGATTAAACACAATATTGGATAGCAAATATGTTAAAGCTTTAATGAACATAATTTAATATTAGTATGATATATAAAGTTTGTGATCTCAGAATTGAACTGTTTTCTCTAGCTTGTGGAGGAACCCTCTCTGGAAGCGGTCAGATTCGCACTCCCTTGCACCCTGACCCCTATCCCCACAACAAAGTGTGCGAGTGGGTCATTAACCAGCCCGAGGGCTATGTGGTCACTCTCAACTTCCTCACCTTTGACGTTGAGGGAAGCAGCACATGCGTCTTCGATTATGTTGAGGTACAACATTAGCATTGTGCGAATCCTATTCAGCCAACATACAGATTACACTTTACATTTCTTCTGAAACGTCACTCTTTACTCAGGTGAGAGATGGTCCCAGCATAGACTCCCCTCTGATTGGTCGATACTGTGGAATTAACATGCCTCCCATGCTGGAGTCCACCCAGAGGTCCATGTTCATCCGCTTCAAAACAGATTCATCTGTCTCCAACCATGGTTTCACTGCTGAGTTTGCATCTGCAGAGCAAGGTGAACTATTGTTTTGTTGTTTTCGAATGTACAGTAGCTTGTTCAAATATATTATATATACTGCCTAGTGAGCTGCCTACCAAGACCAAACAGGCACATTCTCAACATGAAAGATGTTCACTGTAAAAAATATTCTGTTCAATTTGCAGTAAATAACAATGCAATAACATTAACTAAATAACACTAAATACCCAAATGCACATTACTGGTAACAAACATAAAAAATAATTCACAAAATATAATTAATAATTCATAGCTGGTATCTCCAAAAACCATACATTTCACAGTATTTTACAGTAAAATTACAAATAATATGATTTTACAGTTTTTCACCGTATATGGCAACGTAACTTACAATTAACCAATTAACAGGTTTTATTGTAGTATTTACAGTATTTTATTTATTTAAAAAAATAAACAAATAAAATTTTATATATATATATAAAAGATCTAAGACTTTTTCTATGTACACAAAAGGCCTATTTCTCTCAGATATTGTTCACAAATCTGTCTAAATCTGTGTTAGTGAGCACTTCTCCTTTGCCGAGATAATCCATCCACCTCACAGGTGTGGCATATCAAGATGCTGATTAGACAGCATGATTATTGCACAGGTGTCTTGAAACATGGGGCCGTGCATTATCATGCTGCAACATGAGATGATGGTCTTGTATGAATGGCACAACAATGGGCCTCAGGATCTCGTCACGGTATCTCTGTGCATTCAAAATGCCATCAATAAAATGCACCTGTGTTCTTTGTCCATAACATACACCTGCCCATACCATAACCCCACCGCCATCATGGGCTACTCGATCCACAACATTGACATCAGCAAACCGCTCACCCACACGACGCCATACTATTTTTGTAAAAAAACAAAATTTTGGCCACCATTGTTTTGAGATGCAATAAATTAGTGGAAAAGTTAGTCCAAGATGGCTGATGACTATATTATAAATATATTTCATTCAGTAATGAAAACTAATTTAAAAGTTGACTAATATGATGTTTGAGTATTTAGTTGTTAGCTTGGCAACATGCTAATGTCAAACTTTATTGGAATCAACTGAGTTGAGCTTTCTGTGTTCATGCTAATATTTGGTGAATCGACATTGGTAGACCAGTGATGGTGAGAAATACTGGTTAAAGATCTGGCCTGGAAACCGTAAGGTTCATGGTTTGATTCCCACAATAAGCAGCACATACTCTTTCTCCATTGATTAAAGCATGTTCAAATGATTTCAACACTTGTGTTCATTTTTGCAGGTTGTGGAGAGACTCTTACAGAACCAACAGGTTCATTCACCAGCCCAGGACATCCCACTGACTACCCTCATGGAGCCAATTGTACCTGGTACATCTCCGTTGAGCCTGGCAACCTCATCCGTCTGTCATTCACAACCTTCAACCTGGAGTATCACACCAACTGCGCATACGACTATGTGGATGTCTACGATAATGGCACAGCGCTGACTGGCACTCTTATGGGCAGGTAAACCAAGACATTTGACGATTTAGGCCACAGACATCCCTTAATTGAAGATTTGTAAATGAATATGTTGGAAAATGTTGGTTATTTTGTGCACAGGTTCTGTGGGCGCTCCGTTCCTCCATCTCTAACCAGCACTGATAGTCTGATGACCGTCCTGCTAGTCTCTGACTCCAGTCTGTCTGCGGAAGGCTTTTCTGCTGATTATGTCTCCATCAATGCAAGCACAGGTATAATTTTATTGCAGTAATTGGATATGAAAATCCAATTTGAAAAGCCATGAAAGTACAGGCCTCATAGTGAAGCTTGGGTTTTAAAAGACTGACCTTTTTCAGGTCAAGTCAAGTGAGCTTTATTGTCATTTCACTGTATGTAGAGATATACAAAGGAACAAAATGTTGTCTCATATCTCATGTTTTGTCTATGCAGATTGCAGTGAGGTGTTTAGGTCACCCACCGGGGAGTTCAGCTCACCCAACTACCCTGACAATTACCCCAACAATCGGGAGTGTGTGTATAAAATCATAGTGGAAGTCAACATGCAGATCATGCTGAATATCACAGATTTTGAGCTGGAGGGGTTCAGTTCCTGTGGTTTTGACTATTTAGAGATCAGGTGAGGAACTTTTCCAGCATCTTGGGTCATTGATTTGGTCACTTTTTGGTTTTCAAACACTTTCCTTTCTTTTACAGAGATGGAGGCTATGAAACATCCCCCCTGATTGGTAAATATTGCGGAACAAATGGTCCACCCATCATAGTGTCACATAGCAACAGACTGTGGCTGAAGTTCAGATCTGACCACTCACTCACCTACAGGGGATTCAAAGCCCACTGGGATGGCACACAGACAGGTATGCATTTCCTGTTGTGTACTTGTGTATTGAATCAGATGAATATCAGCCAGACTGTTGACATGAAGTCAGGAGTAGAACTGCCATTTAAATGACCAACTGCGATTTGATTTTTTTTTTTTTGTGCTGTTTTCGGGCAGATACGTAATTTGGACTGTAGACTTTGTGATCATAATTTCTATATCCAAATCAGTGATCTTTTTCTTTTTTTTTATATATACATTTTCAGTTTTTATTTTACTTTTAACTTTTTATTACTTATTTTCAAATATTTGCTTTAATACTTTGTTTAATACTTTATAATATAATTTATTATATATGATTTATAGTTTTATTGTTTTATTAATTTTAGTACTTTAATTTAAACTTATTTTATTTCAATTAGTTGCCAAGGCAACATTCTCATTTTTGTTTGTTTTTAAGTTAAAGCTTTTAGTCTAATATTTATATTTAATTTTTATGTCAGATTTATTTCAAAAAATAAAATGATTTTTTTAATGTGCTTTTTCCATTTTCATACTTTTTGTAATGGTTCTGTTTGGCTTTATTTATTTTATGTATGTTTGTATGCATTTATTCATTGATTTATTTAAAATGTAATAATATTTATACTATTTTAATTTATAGTTTGTTTTAGCAATTTTAGTGCTTCAGCTTAAACTTATTTTCAGTTAGTTGCCAAAGCAACATTTTTTCTTGTTTTTTATGTAATATTTATATTTTATTTTATTTCAAATTTATTTTTTATAAAGAAAACAATAGTTTAAAATGTTGGAACAACACTGTTCCAGAGGTATTGATAGTCTGCTGTAGATTAGTTGCTATTAAGCGCCTCAGACAAAAATCTAAATGTCTTTACAATATTTAATGGGACAAACCTTGCAAACCAGCAAATATTTATTCCTCAGAATTGCTCATATCGAGCGCTAATATCAACCTGCTAGCTTATACACACAATATTGTTTCCCAGAGGACCGGTTAAAACCCAGAGTCCCAGAAATCTCACGCCAATTTGATTGGAGTTTGCATTCCATTTTGCATAAGAAGGTCAGTGGACTATATTACACCATCTCAGACTTACCATGTGTCTCTGTTATAGGTTGCGGTGGGACGTTGACAACAAGTGTGGGAGGTTTCACCTCTCCCAACTACCCCCTGCCGTATCACGCCAACGCCGAATGCTACTGGCACATCAAAACCAGTGCAGGAAGCACAGTGGAGCTCAGCTTTGGAGACTTTCACCTGGAGAACAGCATCAACTGCTACTACGACTACTTGGCGGTCAGAGAGCATCGAATTAGACGATTTACTACACAATTGTAGAGTTCGCTATTGAAAGGTATTGAGTTGGAATCTTTCCTTGATGTGTATATGTTTTACCAGGTGTATGATGGCGACAGCACCAGTTCTCCTGAGCTGGCCAAACTGTGTGGAAATCAGATTCCTCCTCCCATCAGCTCCTCTCGAGAGAACATGTATGTGAAGCTACGTACAGACAGCATCATCCACACAGGCGGATTTCTGGCTAACTACCAAACCAGTGAGTGACCAAACCAGAAAACCCCGAAAAAAATGTATAAATTTAGTGCTGTCAAAAGATTAATTGTGATCAATCGCCTCAAAAATAAAAGTTTTTCTTTACATTATATATGTGTGTGTACTGTGCATATTTATTGTGTATATATAAATATACACACATCCATGTATATATTTAAGAAATATATGTTACGTTTATATATTTATATATAATATAAATTATACAAATATAAATATATACATGTAAATACATGCAAATATTTTCAAAATATATACTCTATGTATGTGTATTTATATATACGTAATACATATACACAGTACACACACATATATAATGTAAAGAAAAACTTTTATTTTGGATGTGATTAATCGTGATTAATCGTTTGACAGCACTAGTATAAATATAGTTTTTTTATTTACATTTGATTCAAACTCTTACAAAAAAGTATTGTGGCAGTTTTATGGTATACAGATAGTATCAGGTGTAAATTTTGTACATTTCTACTATGGAACATATTCATACACTGCAAAAAAATTTTTTACTTAGTATTTTTGTCTTGTTCTACAGTACAGTAAAAATTCTTAAATCAAGATACATTTGCTTGAGAAGCAAAATGGCTTGATTTTTGTTTTCTGAAAAATGATCAAATTTGAGTTTATGCCTAAAAACGAGAAATATCTAACGAGGAAGAAAAAATAATGTTAACTGAACTTTTTGTTTTTCATCGTCAGAATCTTTTCCTTTTTTAAGTAAAAACTCAATTAATTTTTAAAAAATTTAAATAAATAAATAAAGGAATAGTTCATTTGAAAAGCCATGAAAGTACAGGCCTCATAGTGAAGCTTGGGTTTTAAAAGACTGACCTTTTTCAGGTCAAGTCAAGTGAGCTTTATTGTCATTTCACTGTATGTAGAGATATACAAAGGAACAAAATGTTGTCTCATATCTCATGTTTTGTCTATGCAGATTGCAGTGAGGTGTTTAGGTCACCCACCGGGGAGTTCAGCTCACCCAACTACCCTGACAATTACCCCAACAATCGGGAGTGTGTGTATAAAATCATAGTGGAAGTCAACATGCAGATCATGCTGAATATCACAGATTTTGAGCTGGAGGGGTTCAGTTCCTGTGGTTTTGACTATTTAGAGATCAGGTGAGGAACTTTTCCAGCATCTTGGGTCATTGATTTGGTCACTTTTTGGTTTTCAAACACTTTCCTTTCTTTTACAGAGATGGAGGCTATGAAACATCCCCCCTGATTGGTAAATATTGCGGAACAAATGGTCCACCCATCATAGTGTCACATAGCAACAGACTGTGGCTGAAGTTCAGATCTGACCACTCACTCACCTACAGGGGATTCAAAGCCCACTGGGATGGCACACAGACAGGTATGCATTTCCTGTTGTGTACTTGTGTATTGAATCAGATGAATATCAGCCAGACTGTTGACATGAAGTCAGGAGTAGAACTGCCATTTAAATGACCAACTGCGATTTGATTTTTTTTTTTTTGTGCTGTTTTCGGGCAGATACGTAATTTGGACTGTAGACTTTGTGATCATAATTTCTATATCCAAATCAGTGATCTTTTTCTTTTTTTTTATATATACATTTTCAGTTTTTATTTTACTTTTAACTTTTTATTACTTATTTTCAAATATTTGCTTTAATACTTTGTTTAATACTTTATAATATAATTTATTATATATGATTTATAGTTTTATTGTTTTATAAATTTTAGTACTTTAATTTAAACTTATTTTATTTCAATTAGTTGCCAAGGCAACATTCTCATTTTTGTTTGTTTTTAAGTTAAAGCTTTTAGTCTAATATTTATATTTAATTTTTATGTCAGATTTATTTCAAAAAATAAAATGATTTTTTTAATGTGCTTTTTCCATTTTCATACTTTTTGTAATGGTTCTGTTTGGCTTTATTTATTTTATGTATGTTTGTATGCATTTATTCATTGATTATTTAAAATGTAATAATATTTATACTATTTTAATTTATAGTTTGTTTTAGCAATTTTAGTGCTTCAGCTTAAACTTATTTTCAGTTAGTTGCCAAAGCAACATTTTTTCTTGTTTTTTATGTAATATTTATATTTTATTTTATTTCAAATTTATTTTTTATAAAGAAAACAATAGTTTAAAATGTTGGAACAACACTGTTCCAGAGGTATTGATAGTCTGCTGTAGATTAGTTGCTATTAAGCGCCTCAGACAAAAATCTAAATGTCTTTACAATATTTAATGGGACAAACCTTGCAAACCAGCAAATATTTATTCCTCAGAATTGCTCATATCGAGCGCTAATATCAACCTGCTAGCTTATACACACAATATTGTTTCCCAGAGGACCGGTTAAAACCCAGAGTCCCAGAAATCTCACGCCAATTTGATTGGAGTTTGCATTCCATTTTGCATAAGAAGGTCAGTGGACTATATTACACCATCTCAGACTTACCATGTGTCTCTGTTATAGGTTGCGGTGGGACGTTGACAACAAGTGTGGGAGGTTTCACCTCTCCCAACTACCCCCTGCCGTATCACGCCAACGCCGAATGCTACTGGCACATCAAAACCAGTGCAGGAAGCACAGTGGAGCTCAGCTTTGGAGACTTTCACCTGGAGAACAGCATCAACTGCTACTACGACTACTTGGCGGTCAGAGAGCATCGAATTAGACGATTTACTACACAATTGTAGAGTTCGCTATTGAAAGGTATTGAGTTGGAATCTTTCCTTGATGTGTATATGTTTTACCAGGTGTATGATGGCGACAGCACCAGTTCTCCTGAGCTGGCCAAACTGTGTGGAAATCAGATTCCTCCTCCCATCAGCTCCTCTCGAGAGAACATGTATGTGAAGCTACGTACAGACAGCATCATCCACACAGGCGGATTTCTGGCTAACTACCAAACCAGTGAGTGACCAAACCAGAAAACCCCGAAAAAAACGTATAAATTTAGTGCTGTCAAAAGATTAATTGTGATCAATCGCCTCAAAAATAAAAGTTTTTCTTTACATTATATATGTGTGTGTACTGTGCATATTTATTGTGTATATATAAATATACACACATCCATGTATATATTTAAGAAATATATGTTACGTTTATATATTTATATATAATATAAATTATACAAATATAAATATATACATGTAAATACATGCAAATATTTTCAAAATATATACTCTATGTATGTGTATTTATATATACGTAATACATATACACAGTACACACACATATATAATGTAAAGAAAAACTTTTATTTTGGATGTGATTAATCGTGATTAATCGTTTGACAGCACTAGTATAAATATAGTTTTTTTATTTACATTTGATTCAAACTCTTACAAAAAAGTATTGTGGCAGTTTTATGGTATACAGAAGGTGTAAAGTGTAAATTTTGTACATTTCTACTATGGAACATATTCATACACTGCAAAAAAATTTTTTATTTTTGTCTTTACAGTACAGTAAACATTCTTAAATCAAGATACATTTGCTTGAGAAGCAAAATGGCTTGATTTTTGTTTTCTGAAAAATGATCAAATTTGAGTTTATGCCTAAAAACGAGAAATATCTAACGAGGAAGAAAAAATAATGTTAACTGAACTTTTTGTTTTTCATCGTCAGAATCTTTTCCTTTTTTAAGTAAAAACTCACTTAATTTTGATACTTTGATTTTTTTAAAAGATTTAAATAAATAAATAAAGGAATAGTTCACCCAAAAATGTCGTTCCAAAGCTGTATACATTTAATTTCTATGTTGAACACAAAAGAAGACATTTTGAAGAACCAAACAGTTATTGGTCCCCATTGACTTCCACAGTAGGGAAAGAAATACTATGGAAGTCAATGGGGACCATCAACAGTTTGATTACCAGCATTCTTCAAAATATCTTCTTTTATGTTCAGCATAAGAAAAAAAAATCATTTTTTTAAACATTTTTGGGTGAACTATCCCTTTAATGATCTTGTGTCATTTTGTATCTTGATTTATGAAAGTTATTTGAAAGATCTGAAAGTTATAAGAAAGAAATTTGTACTGAAAAACAAGACAAAAATACTGAGTGAGACAACCATATTTGCAGTGTATTCCATGATATTTCAATGGTACTTAAAAAAAGAATACCATGGTATTACCATGGTGTATTCCCAAAAACATGGGAATAACATGGTACATTTTTTGTAAGTGAATAATTAAACATTACTGCAATGCTGTGGTTTTAAATCGTACGTTTTTGTATTTGGCAGTTGAGTTCACCCAGAGGACACTGACTTGTTTTGGCTCTCTGCTTTTTAGTCTTGTTTTAATTATGTTTGTGGAGGTGAAATGTCACAGTTTAGAGCTCAGTGCAGCACTATCTATCTTCTTTTGTGCATTCTCTCAGTCTTTTGCCTTTTCTTTGGCTGTCAGTGGCCACATGCCAGTGTGTTTCCCAGACTCTAAAACTTTACTGCAGGGTCAAATCCAGCTTTAGCCGTTATGGCAAGATGCCACCAGTTTTAATGTATTCCTGCCTTAAAATCGGTGTAAATATTCCCCAAAAGTTCTTGATGTTACATAATTCTTCCCAGCTCATGTTGTTAATCAAGACGGGCTTTTCTCCTGTAGTTTGCCAGGGTGTGCTGATCGCCAACCGGAGCCGGGGAAAGATTGAGAGCTTGAACTTCCCCAATGACTACCCATCTCGTGCCAACTGCAGCTGGACCATCCAGGCCTCCATGGGCAACACCATCAACTACACTTTTATAACCTTTGAGGTGGAGCACCACGTTGGATGTGCCTATGACTATGTGAAAGAAATACTATGGAAGTCAATGGGGACCATCAACAGTTTGATTACCAGCATTCTTCAAAATATCTTCTTTGTTCAGCATAAGAAAAAAATTTCATTTTTTTAAACATTTTTGGGTGAACTATCCCTTTAATGATCTTGTGTCATTTTGTATCTTGATTTATGAAAGTTATTTGAAAGATCTGAAAGTTATAAGAAAGAAATTTGTACTGAAAAACAAGACAAAAATACTGAGTGAGACAACCATATTTGCAGTGTATTCCATGATATTTCAATGGTACTTAAAAAAAGAATACCATGGTATTACCATGGTGTATTCCCAAAAACATGGGAATAACATGGTACTTTTTTTGTAAGTGAATAATTAAACATTACTGCAATGCTGTGGTTTTAAATCGTACGTTTTTGTATTTGGCAGTTGAGTTCACCCAGAGGACACTGACTTGTTTTGGCTCTCTGCTTTTTAGTCTTGTTTTAATTATGTTTGTGGAGGTGAAATGTCACAGTTTAGAGCTCAGTGCAGCACTATCTATCTTCTTTTGTGCATTCTCTCAGTCTTTTGCCTTTTCTTTGGCTGTCAGTGGCCACATGCCAGTGTGTTTCCCAGACTCTAAAACTTTACTGCAGGGTCAAATCCAGCTTTAGCCGTTATGGCAAGATGCCACCAGTTTTAATGTATTCCTGCCTTAAAATCGGTGTAAATATTCCCCAAAAGTTCTTGATGTTACATAATTCTTCCCAGCTCATGTTGTTAATCAAGACGGGCTTTTCTCCTGTAGTTTGCCAGGGTGTGCTGATCGCCAACCGGAGCCGGGGAAAGATTGAGAGCTTGAACTTCCCCAATGACTACCCATCTCGTGCCAACTGCAGCTGGACCATCCAGGCCTCCATGGGCAACACCATCAACTACACTTTTATAACCTTTGAGGTGGAGCACCACGTTGGATGTGCCTATGACTATGTGAAGGTCAGCACATGCTTTGTCAAGCCTCATCTTAAACTGTACCCAATTTTGCTGCTGAAAGTCTACATGAAATTAAAATGGACCATATCTGCTTTCTTAATAGACTTTCTGGTCATATTTTGCATGTCTCTGAAGTGTCTTTCCTTTAATGGTTGAGATCACAAAGGTCACACAGGATGTTAATATTAACTAAAAGCCAATTAGCCATTTAGGCATCGTTTTAGGCTACTTCCTGCCTGAAATCTTGAAAAGGTTAGAGAAATAACAATAGATGTGAATAAGAAAAGGATGCATTGAGATGCTCTTGATGGTGAACTTGACCTTTAGCTTTCAGTTCGGCTTTATTCTGATATGGAACGCCCACTATTCATGATCCAATCAGTTCCTGATGGATGGACTCAAGCCCCGCCCATTTTCTCATCAAATATGTTGTTTTGCTCAGAAATATGTCACGTTGAGAAGTTTAAATAGGTTGTGAACGTTGGTTTTTCTGACTCGAGGACCATCTACATGTCTTTTCAAGCTTGTATTATCTTATTATTTCTCCGTGAAGGGCTCAAGTCATTCAGTTACACTACAGTGATTTACTGGCAGAGTCTTTGAAATGTACAATGGGTACTTTGAGTTCCTCTCCGTTCACTCATCACCATGGCGATCCAAACAGTGATGACATCATTGGGGCCTTTTGTAGAGATGTTGAGTTTTTGTCTTTTCCCTCAGGCAGCCTTGAGAAAGGCTATGCTCTGTTTTCATAAACCTCATGCCATAGATAGGCATTCATCAGCTGGATAAATACATAGACAGTTGTGTTGGATATTTTGGACTCTGATGACCTTTTCCTTAAGGAATGTGAGATTTTGTGCACAAGCCAACAATATTACAGCACACTTTTGTTCCTAAGGCAGTAGAACAGATGGTCTGAATTACTGATGTGATGTCATTGGTTGTATTTCCTGTGAAAGGTCACTGATTCTTGAGACATACTGCAGGAGAAACAATATTTCGCACTTTAATCTGACTTCAGTTTTCAAATTCACTAAGTTTTCACCTTTTGTTTTATTTTCTTGTTATTTTGTTAAGGTTATGACATTACACAATCAGTCACTGCACTTAGCAATATGTGAATGGTTTTGATATGGTTTGACAGCTGTGTACATTTTCTCAACAAAATTTATTAATTTTACAATTTTAAGTAATTGTCCATTTTTGTGTCACAAACAATGTCAGAAATATAGTCTGGATTTTTGGATAATTTCCAAATTTAAACTAGGTCCTTCTTCAGAATTGGAAAATAAACTCAAAATTGTGAGAAAAAAAGTCAGATTTGTAGGATATAAACTCGTAATAAACTCGTAGTTGGTCGTAATGAGAAATAAAGTTGCAATTCTATGTAATAAAGTCAGAATTGTGAGATATAAAAAGTCACAATTACCTTTTTTATTTATTCCATGGTGAAAGCGGGCTTCCATAATATAGTTTTTACTGATTTTTATTTCAGTTTTAGTTATTTAGTGGTTCATGTTAAACTAAATGAAAATGTTCCCTTGGCAATTAGCTAAAATAAAGTCATGAAAGATCTATTATAGTATGTATTATATAACATGACAGAACTATCTTTTACTGTAAAGACCAGAAAGTATTGTATAATTAATCTCACTTTCTGTTCCTGTCTAGCTCTATGATGGTCCAAACGATCAGGCTACTCTGATTGGTACGTTCTGTGGGAACACGCCTCCTCCAGCCAGCACCACCACTGGTACCAGCCTCCACATTGTGTTCCGCTCCGACATGTCTGTCTCATACAGAGGCTTTCAGATGGACTGGTACCAGAATGGTAAGATCCAACAATACACAGCTGATCGTATGCTTTCCATGAATAAAGTACAAAAATAGAGCTTAAACTTCTTGGGACTTCATGGAAAGTTGGGTATTCATGGAAAGTACCACATTCATGGAAAGGTTTTTGAGGACCTGTGCCAGCCTCAAAGCATTGTGTGAAACATCTAAATGTGTATGACAGTGGAAAGACAGATGAGCTACTCAGAACAGAAGGAAATAACATATACAAAGCCACTGTTGGGCAGCCAGAAGTCAGTGACCTGTAGTCTCTAAATCTCTAAGAGAAATAGCAGTCCTAATGGGCAATGCAGTGACATCACTTAGGAAAGCTTCACTTTGATTGGCCAGCAGGGAAAGAGCTGATTACCAGTGATGACTGAATCTAGCAAAGAAAGAAAGGAAAGATTAAATGTAGCAACTGCTGTTGCTGTAGAATTTTGGGATTTGTAGTGGATTTTCTGCACATGTATTAGCTTATTTCCAGCAAAAATCTGTTCCAGAATGAATATGTGGAAAACAAGGCTACACGCTCCTCTAGAGAGAACAGACTAATAAAGCTCTGTCCTTGCTCTCTGTCTTAGGCGACACACCTGTTTAACTCTTACTATGTCACACCTAACATAAATGAACTGTTCACAGTAAAACAGAGAATCCATTTAATTTCATTACAGATATTAAATTTACTTGTATATCAAAGAAGAAACACCAAGACATAAATGTGTCAGATAGTGAGCCATCTATTAGTGTGATAACCCACACTAACTGATGTTTTGTGTGTATGTTTCTCTGTCCTTGTGCTTGTGAGACATCGAGTAACATTGCTGAAGGGTGTGGACTGTTATTTTTGCACAGAGAGCAGGATCACAGTAAGAGAGGGAGAGACGTACGCTCTGAACCTTTAATTATTCATGCACCTCTGTCTGTGATGATGTCATTTTTTGGAAGGAAATGGTCTTGGTTTCCATGGACACAATGTGTAGAGAATGAACACTGTAATGTTATTATGTAACATGCACAGCACTGTTTTGCAGCTGTAAAAACCTTGCTGAGGGAGAGAAAAATGACAAACAAAGAATAAAAACAATCGGAAAAGACACGAGGATGGAAGAGATAGAAATGTCCCTATAATAAGAGAAAGTTCAAACATGAAACTGTGGGATAAATAATGCAGGTGCTGGAGAAATTCCTCAATTCAACAAAGCATTTCATGGCTACAAGCCACTTGATCCATTTTAAAAATTAAAAAGTAGCTCCACCTTTCCTTTGTCCTCTCACAGACCTGTGGACGCTGTTGAGATTGATGTTATTGATTAAGACAGTGGGGGTGGAGAGAATGAATCCGTTCTGACCGATCTTTCGTGAATATCACATTACACTGACCGCATTTTAGTCTTGTTGCTACTGCCTTTCTTGCGGTGAGGGTCAATATGGCTTCATATTTCCTCTGATAAGCTTGACGTGAAGCATTTTTCCTGTCTGTACACTGTAATGCAACTATCTGTCCACTTCAGCATCCCTGACCACATTTACACAGACACACTTTACAGGAATTGACATTAAACAAGTTACAAAATATACGTAATGCCAAACCTACAAAATATAATGTAGTTATGCAAGATGATAATACCATGGTACTTTGATTAGTACCATGATACATGTCCAAAATGTGCTTTTTTTGTCGCCTTATATTCATACAAAATATTGTTACATTTGAATCAGAATTTCTGTTTTGAACTTTCATGTGGATCCCTGATTAAAAACAGGGGAAGAAAAAGTCAAAGTACCTCACTGTTACCCCCTGCAGGTTGTGGTGGGGAACTCTTCGGGCCCACTGGTGCTTTCACCAGCCCAGGCTATCCGGACAAATACCCAGCAAACCGTGAGTGCATCTGGCACATCCAAACAAGCCCTGGAAGTAGCATTTCCATCACCATCCTTGAGTTTGATGTGGAATATCATCCTGACTGCAACTATGACAAGCTGGAGGTATGAAAAAATGAATAAATAAAAACAGTAAGCAAAAAATATATGTATGCATTGAATACACTCTATTACATCTGCAACCTGAGCCTACTTCATGAGATAATGTATCCCACAATGCAGTGCACTCAACTACCCTCAATTCCCAGTGTGATGAAAGAACTGGAAACAATATTAAGCATGGTTTTTCCTAAATCTGTATACTGAGCTTATTGTTACATACTTCATGCTATTTTTTTTTATAGTATACAGTACATACTGCCCAGTTAGAAGTGTGCAAGTATTCCTCAAAATCTATTCTTAATTATTAACTTTAATAAGTGTTATGTGTTAGGTGTAAGCATTATGAGATCAAAATTCAAGTGTGTGTTTATATGGGTGTGTGCCTGCTCATGCCCCGTCGGCATCAGCTGGGCTCTGTGGGTGTTTGTTTTGTAGCGTAGACCTGTGGAATGCTGACCTCCACTGTAGCACTGAATGGAGCCAACAGGGCAGAAATTAACTGGAAATCAGAGCTTAGTGAGAGGGCTTAGAGATAGTCTCACATGCACACAAACACACACTTTCTGTTCCACACAGATGCCAGACCAAAACCAGATATTGTTTTAAAATGGCATTAATTTTAGTGGCCTATGGTTTACAGAGCTGGGTAGTAAGTAACTGATTACATGTAATCTGGATTACGTAATTAGATTCCAAAAATTAAGTAGCTGCAGTACTTGTAATTAGATTAGATTAGATTACATTTTTAAAATACTTGTAACCAGACTACAGTTACTTTTTTACTGATTACTTGTATTTTATTGATTACAGATTTAGAAATGATAAACGAGTTAGGTTAAAAGTAATCTAAAAGTAATCAAAAAGTAGTCTGATTATATTACCTAAAATGTGTAATGTAATGGATTAAGTTACTAACTACAATTTTTGTCATGTAATTTGGAATCAGTAACAGACTACAATTTGTAAGTAATCTACCCAGCACTGATGGCTTATTACATGCTATGCTTGCTTTCGCATCACTTACTGTAGAGTAAATAAGACAACAGAGACAAAATGAAATTTGCAATATTTGGACACATAAGAGATAAATGAAAAGAAAGGGTTATTCATCTTAAAGAGAGATAGCACAAGCACACTTTTTTTGCACAACATTTCACAATGTAAAACAGTTGATGTATGCTACTGTTCAAAATTTCAATCAAATTTGATATTTTCACACTTTCTGGTAGTCGAACTTGGTGGAAAATGTCGATTACTAATAGAATTACATTTATCTTTGGGACTAGTTGTTTAAAAGTCATGATATCAACAGTCAAGCTAAGTCTAAGAAAAGCGCTAGTATCATTTTGAAGCCACTTGGTTTGATTTTTTTTTTTTTACGTAATAGTGACTTTCATACATTTTGAAATGATCCTGGTCTTCAAAAAAGCTAGTCTGTAAGTATCGCCTCACCTTTGACCTTTATCCAGGTGTACGGAGGGCCTGACCTCTCCTCCCCACGATTGGCCCAGCTCTGCACCACACGCCCTCCCAATAACCCTCTGCAGGTGGCCAGCACAGGTAACACTGTCACCGTTCGATTCACATCTGATGCCGTCGTGAGTGGCAGAGGCTTCAACGCAACCTGGGTAGAAGTTCCTGGAGGTTAGTCAACTGTCAATTATGAAAATTCATCACTATGCCACTATATATGCCATTATTTTGGAGACTTTGCTAATGAGCTTCTTAAAATCTTTCCTTTGAAAATGCAGGATGTGGAGGGATCGTCACAGCCCCCAATGGAGAGATCCACTCTCCGCAGTATCCCAGCAACTATCCTGACAATGTGGACTGTTCCTGGGTCATCACAGTGGACGTAGGCCATCGAGTCTTCTTCAACTTCACTGATCTGGATCTCGAAAGTCACAGCTCATGCAGCTTTGATTACGTGGCTGTGAGTAGCTGACCTTTCTGTGTGCACATGATGAATTTAATGCTCACGGTGGCAACATTTGTGATTTCATGATATGATATTACAGACCAATGCATCACAGTTTAAACCAGTTTATGGACAAACTTCTACTCTCTAGATCCATGATGGTCACCATGAGTCTTCTCCACTCCTGGGTAAATTTTGTGGCGTCGCCAGGCCTTCTCCCATTACGTCCACAAGGAACGTCATCTATGTTCGCTTCAGGTCAGATCACAGTCAGAACCGTAAAGGCTTCAGTGCCCAGTTCTCAGAAGGTGAGTGCAGTCTTTGTTTTGTGAATTTGTCATGGTTTGTTTCATTGTTAAACCTAATTGATTACTCATTGATTTCCAGCATGTGGATCCACTATAGTAGCTGATGATGTGGGTGGTGAGATTGCATCTCCTCGTTATCCATATTCTTACCCACCCAATCAGAACTGTAGTTGGATCATACAGGCACAGGAGCCATGTAAGTCCACTGGTCATACTTGGCATCCATAATCTCAAAGTCAAAACCAATGCTTTTTGTACTTTAAACTACTTGCCTTATTCTCTGATCTCTACTATCTTATATTTCTTTCAGTCAATCATGTGACTTTGTCCTTCACTGACTTTGAGGTTGAGATGGTGAATAGTAACTGCTCTCATGATAGTGTGGAGGTCCTGGATGGAGACAATTACCAAGCCCCATCTGTTGGTAAAGATAAAATCTCTTCCTTGAGGAAACGTCAAAGACATACTCTGATTACAATAGGATATCACCTATATATGTGTGTATACATCAGGCATTAGATCTAGGTTTTGGCACTTTATCACATTTTGTTTGGTTTTTCAGAAAATACTGATGCAGTTATGGTTAGTAATAACTAGTAACCTTTTTCCAGGTCGTTACTGTGGGAATGAGTTGCCACACCCAGTCACTTCATTCAGCAATGCCCTGGTGGTAAACTTCATCTCAGATGCTTCAGTAGGGAGGAAAGGTTTTAGGGCAACCTACATGGCCTCAACCTCAGGTTAGATTTTAGTATTTATTTCAAAATACATATGAATTTTCCACCCAAGTTAGGTTGCAGTATAACACTATTTAGTTACCTGTTTTTCCAGGCTGTGGGGGACATCTGTATATGGAGTCAGGTGCTTTTAACAGTCCGAACTATCCTGATGTATACCCACCTAATGTGGAGTGTGTATGGACCATCACCAGTTCCCCTGGGAACCGTCTACAACTGTCCTTCATGTAAGCAAATCAGGATGTTACATTAATCTCACAAATGTAGTGGATTCATCAAAACCAACAATGCTGTACTTTTTGTGATGCAGAATGTTTCAGTTGCAACAAAGTTTAGACTGCAGTAGTGACTACCTAGAGGTTCGTGAAGGACATTCCACTGGTACTCTGGTTGGTCGTTTCTGTGGTGATTCCCTTCCTTCCAACTACACCTCTATAATGGGCCACATTCTTTGGATCAAGTTTGTCTCTGACTCCTCAGTCAGTGGAGCTGGATTTAGAGCAGTATTCTCCCACTGTAAGTCAGAGCGATAGATTACCGTTTTCTTTTTTATGTGGACCCTACTGAAAAGACCAACTAAGACTAGCCTGTATTTCCATTCTATTCCTGAGTGGTTATGTTGGTTAATGCTGGTTTCCTGGGTCTGAATAGTCATTTTGTTCACCAAAAACCTTGGAAGTCTTGCTGGTTAAAATCTCCTGAAGTTAGAAAATCTTACATGGGAATATCTTTACTATTTTTCTGCATCTTCAGTGTATGGAAATGACATCACGGGCAGCTCGGGACAGATAGCCTCCCCGCTTTACCCACGCACCTACCCAAACAATGCAGACTACCGCTGGACCGTCACAGTGGACTCAGATTCCCACATCCAGATTCAATTCCTGGACATCGACATAGAGGACCTATTCAATTGTTATTATGACAAGCTCAAGGTCTGCACTCTTGTTTAAAATGCCATAATGGTTTAACAGAAAATAAGTGTATGCAGGCATATGATGTAGATGAGGTTGAAGATCAATGCTTCCCTTCTCTAGATATATGATGGTCCCAGCACCAGTGCTTTACTTATGGGTGAGTTCTGCGGCCTGACTCTGCCCAACCCAGTAAGAAGTTCAGGCAGCACTATAACGCTTGAATTTAAATCTGACAATGTGATTGGAGGAAAAGGCTTCCTGGTTGAGTGGACTGCTGTTCAGGGCTCCGGTCCTTTGCCAACTATACAGCCAGGTTAGTTCCCTAAGAAATCTGCCTCTCAGATCTTGCTCAAAATCGAAAAACATTGCGGCTTGGTCTCATTTCACAATCGCTTGCTATTTTTTTGTCTTTTCAGGAGCATGTGGAGGAACATTGATGACAGGAGACAATCCCCAGTTCTTATTCTCTCCTGGTTGGCCCGAGCTGTATCAGCATAATCTTGACTGTTCATGGGTGATCCGGTCTCCAAATTCTATCGTTGAGTTTAATCTGCTTTCTCTGGACATGGAAGATGAGGTTTCGTGTCTCCATGACAGTCTATCCATCAGGGATGGTAGGTTTTGTCATATGAAGTGACTTGATCCCAACTCAAAACTGACTTTCATGACTTAATATAAGGTATGTTTTTTTTTTTTAAGGTGACACCAACTTGTCTCCACTGATTGCAAAGGTTTGTGGGCGGGAGCTGCCTGGCTCTCTGCACTCTAATGGTGATGCCATGTTCCTTCGATTCACCTCTGATGGCAGCATTAATGGCAGGGGCTTTAATGCCACCTTTTCCAGAGGTGAACAACAAGTCCATGAGTCAAATTCTTGTCATGATGATGTTGTGAACTAAGTTTGAGCTATTTTTTTTTGTCTTCTCCATCAGGTTGTGGTGGGTTCCTCCATACAGACAGAGGGGTCCTAAGTTCTCCTCAATATCCACAGAACTACAAGCCCAACATGAATTGCAACTGGCAAGTAATGGTCACCTCAGGGTTTAGAGTGTCCGTAACCTTCCAAAGTCCTTTCCAGATACAGGGTTATGGCGATCACTGCAGCTCAGGTGACTACTTGGAGGTGAGTGACTATAGAAAAAGTTGTTTCCAAAACAGAGCCTGTACATCATGCAAATTGTCCTTTAGCGTATGAAGGAAAAGACCATCATAGTTTGATTATTTTGTTTTAGTTACGTAACGGACCTGATGGCAACTCACCGACTCTATCAGGACGTCTCTGTGGGTCCAGTGTTCCATCCACATTTCAAACCACAGACAATAGCCTCTATGCCCACTTTGTCTCTGATGGCTCTAATGAGGCGAGTGGCTTCAAATTGGTATTTGAGGCCCACAGTTCAGGTGAATACTTCTAGCTAATATTCCAGAAATTTTAGATTAATTTGATTATTAAAAAAAACAAATATAAAATAATAAGAGGAAATCTCTGTGCTTGTCTCCAGCTTGTGGTGGTCTCATTGAGCTTAATGATGGAGATCCACCAGGATACATCACGTCTCCTAATTATCCATCAAACTACCCCCAAAATATTGACTGTGTATGGATAATCACTGTACCCAATGGAGAGGCTGTACAGCTTGACTTTGAGGATGAGTTCTACATTGAGGCTCATACTGGGTATATTTAAAATAATCAAATTGCTTATTTTTGGTACATGTAACCATTTGACCATTAAATGTAATCACAATCTTCTGTCCTAGATGTATGTATGATTACCTTGAGATCCGTGATGGTCCCATATCAGATGCTGCTTTGATGGGCAGACTTTGTGGCAACACCCGCCCATCCACACAGCATTCATCCGGCACCACCATGTATATACGATTCAGAACTGATGGCAGCATCACACATATTGGTTTCAAAGCCAAGTACTCCATTGGTAATCCATTTCGAATCCCCATGACATTCCAACCATCTATGGTTGATCTCAATGGTTTAAAGAGTATCCTTTCCCTTCTTAGCTACATGTGGAGGTACCTACATTGGTCAGAGTGGTATCATCAGAAGCCCCGGTTATCCAGACTCAAATTATCCAGACAACTCTAACTGTGAATGGTACTTGGAAGGTCCCACTGGACACTATCTGACCTTCACCTACACTGCCCTTGACCTGCAGAGCTCCTCCAATTGTAACAATGACTATGTGGAGATACGTGAATACAATGCTTCAGGTTTGGGTCCTCCTTACACAAAAGAGAGTTGAGAGTCTTTCTGAATGTTAAGGATAGTAAGCTAGCCTTTTCTTACTTACCAGGTCGCCTGCTGGGGAAACACTGTGGAAACAGCGTTCCAACCCCCCTGGACACTGGAGACAGTTTTGCCTATGTAAAGTTTGTCAGTGATGGCAGCGGGAATGCTGCAGGGTTTAGTTTATTGTTTGAAGCCAGCGTCGAAGGCAAGTGTCTTTACGGTGTTCAGTTAGGGTCATATAGTCCTGTGCAAAAAGCTCATGACTAGTTATTTTGGATAATACATTTGCTACATGATTACTTACATAGTTATGCTGTTGGTTATGAAGCAGTTCCTTGGGTAACTGGTGATAAGATGATATTGTTGCTCTTACAGAATGTGGAGGGGATCTGAACGCACCATTTGGAACCATATCATCTCCCAACTACCCCAATCTTTACCCTCACAGCCGAGTATGCCGCTGGAGAATCACTGTTCCTCCCGGTCGTAGGGTCACTCTTACGATCAATGACCTGAGGCTGGAGGAGCATGGCACCTGTATGTTTGACTATGTGGAGGTAAGGTCATGTGTATGTTTTAGAGATATCAAAAAGTTGGGCATTTAAACTATGTATTGCTTTCTCTGAATATTGTTCAATTCAGTGCTTTATCACTGGTTTGCTGTTTTGACTCTTGGGTTGGTAGGTTATCAATGGTCTGACACCCAGTGCCCCACATTTGGGTCGGTTATGTGGGACAGTCCCTGCTGGTACCCAGTTGAAATCTTCTGGGAATACTATGCTTGTAATTTTCAGCACTGATTCATCTGTGTCTAATGGTGGATTCACGGCAGATTACTCTTCAGAAGAGGCAGCAGGTGAGATAGAAGACCTCTGAGTTTAGTGTATACTTTTTTGCTTATTTTTGTCTCCTGATTTGATTGGTGAATCTTTGTCCTTTTGGTAGTGTGTGGTGGAATACTCAGTCAACCTGGAAACTTCACCTCGCCTGACTTTGGCAATGGAAACTACAGCAACAACCTGAACTGTGAATGGCTGATTCAGAACCCACATCATATGAATTCTTCCATTGTGGTTATAATAGATGAGCTCCATCTAGAGCATCACCAAACCTGCGAGTGGGACTACTTGGAGTTCAGACTGGGTAAGAGTTTCCAAATGCAGAAAGAGAGACATAACACTACGTACACCATCCAGTGTACCATTTACTTTAAAGCTGTTGCTGATAAGCAAACAATTATGGCATGTTTTATCTGTTCCTCGTATTCAGGAGATATGAATGGAGAGCTTTTGGCTCGTTTATGTGGTCAATCCCCTCCTACGATCCCCATAGTAGTGTCCACCCCTGAACTCTGGGTTCACTTCCTGTCCGATGAGGCTGTGGGTGATCTGGGCTTCAAAGCCACGTATTACTTTTCAGGTACCATTGTTCAACTGGTTCCACTTAAACAGATGGATCTCTGCTCTTTAAAATTCTGCATGAGCTCAACTGACTATGATTTTCCACAGAATGTGGAGGGTCACAAAGTGGAGAGGGAGGTGCCATCTCTAGCCCTGGATATCCCAATAACTACCCCAGCCCGAGCCGCTGTACTTGGTTTCTCGAAGCTCCGGTGGGCCACACTATCATTGTAAGTCAAGACTGCTTCTTGGGTCAGTTGTTTTTTACTGTTTTCTTTCAACCTTAACAGTGAAGTTCATCATTAACGTCACTTAATTTCCATATATTCTAGCTCACTTTTACATACTTTGAAGTGGAGGAACACAGCCAGTGCACCTGGGATTCAGTGACTATCTTCAATGGAGCCTCACCAGGATCCCCAGTTATTGGTCAATACTGTGGCCACAACTCTCCAGGAACTATCCAATCAGGCTCCAACAAATTAGTTGTGTTGTTCCTTGCTGATCATACAGTGTCCAGAGGAGGATTTACTGCCACCTGGTCAACGGACTCATCAGGTATATATATATATATATATATATATATATATAAAGATCCTGTCTAATTTCTGTAGGCGTTTTACATATTAAATTACTTTTTTTCCTCAAATTTCTTTCTCTTCTTCAGGATGTGGAGGAATTATCCATGCTGATACAGGCACCATCAAATCTCCCAATTATCCTCAGAATTTCCCAGCCAATACTGAATGTTCCTGGACCATCATCGCCCATGATGGAAACCATCTAGAGATGGGCTTTGCCAGTGACTTCCAGATCCCAGACTCAAGTGGACAGTGTCAAAACAGTTACATCAAGGTAAACAGATGACCATTCCCTGATGTTGCATTTTTGGTATCTGGTGATTGATTTTTCATATTCTGTCTATATTTATCTGACAGGTGTGGTCTGACAATGTACAGAATGATGAGAATCTCTTGGCCACTGGTTGTGGCACTACAGCCCCTGCTGCAGTCATTGCACCCCGAAATGTTATTACGGCTCGTTTCCAGTCCTCAGATACACCTGGCAAAGGCTTCTCTGCTGCATTCTACACTAGTATGTATCATATGTATAGTATGTAACAGGTTTCAGTCCCTGTCAAATAATTCAAATAATGTAATGTCTCTATTTCATATCATCTTTTAGGTTGTGGGGCCAATTTCACAGCCTCAACTGGCCGTGTCGTATCTCCAAACTACCCAGACCACTACCCGGGAGGCTCCAACTGTAATTACATTATTGATGCTGGAGATCAGACCGTGATTGTGCTTACTTTTAAAAGTTTCCAGTTAGAGGGTATGCCTCCTCCTCAAAAATCACTAATTGTTTCATACATCTTGATATAAGAAATCTAAAAATAACTCAAAGGATAACAGCAGTTCTGTAAAGTGAAAAATCATGCATTTCCATCTCCTCTAGCACACTCCACATGTGTCTATGATGGTGTAAAGATCTATAGTGGCATCACCACCAGTGGTGTTCCCTTGGCTACTCTTTGTGGAAATACCATCCCAGGCATCTTCACCACATTTGGACCAATGCTCATCAACTTCTACTCTGATTCTATCATCCATGACAATGGCTTCCTGGCAGAATACAGAACCATACGTAAGCCTCAACCACAAAACAAACTACATTTAATGCAATACTTTTTGGTTCTCTGTATACTATACTATGTGCTGATAAAGGATGTGGCTTAGATGGAGGTGTGTAGGGGGTGTGGCTTCAGTGTAAGTGTGTGCTAGAGTAAGTGTGGGCTGTTTATCATCTGATTCACTGAGCCCAGAAATATGGAATGAGCAGAATCACTGGAATGAGAGGACGCTGCACTTTTCAAACAATATGAGGGGATTTGGGAGAATATGCAAATATGCAAGAGAATTCCATTTGCAACAGATTCCACTGTTACTTCCACAAACAAACTCATTCACTGTAAATGGTGCACAATAGAAATGCACAGTCAAGTACTCTTTGACTTGGTGCTCTATGGGAAGACAGCCCAAATTTCTCAAAGAATAGCTGTCAGCCTCAAGCACATGAACAAAACATTTAAATACATTTAGGGCTGTTCCTATAAATTTCATCCCTACATGTTGGTTTATATGATTACTGTGTATATGTTACTGTACATCTGTACAGGTGCATCTCAATAAATTAGAATGTCGTGGAAAAGTTCATTTATTTCAGTAATTCAACTCTTGAGTTGAATTACTGAAATAAATGAACTTTTCCACGACATTCTAATTTATTGAGATGCACCTGTATATCGATATGTGTGTTCATGTGTTTTTAACAGCATGCGGTGGTGTGTTTAATGGTACTTCTCGGACAATCAGCAGTCCATCTCATTCTATCACCAACTACCATCACAACATCAACTGCACATACTACATATATGTTCGTGACAACCGTGTCATTAATCTCAAGTGAGTTTGATCCAATTTAAGTGATTTGAAGAAGTCATATCATTAGGAATCGTTTTATTTAGGTTTTGAAAACATATTGTCATAGACACAAAAACATTTTGTAAGTTTCAGAACTCAAAACTTGGTCCCAATTCACAAATTTACAATTCACATTCTAAGGATCAAAAATGGTCATTAAAACTTTTAAGGGATAGTTCATCCAAAAATGAAAATTCTGTCAATAATTACCCACCATCATGTCTTTCCAAACCCGTAAGACCTTCATTCATCTTCAGAACACAAATTAAGATGTTTGTGGTGAAATCCGAGAGCTCTGACCCTGCATAGACAGCAACGTAACTACCAAGTTCAAGGCCCAGAAAGGTAGTAAGGACATCGTTAAAATAGTCAATGTGAAATCAGTGGTTCTACCGTAATTTTATGAAGCTATGAGAGTACTTTTTGTGCTGTCTATGTAGGGTGAGCTCTCGGATTTCATTAAAAATATCTTAATTTGTGTTCTAAAGATGAACGAAGGTCTTAAGGGTTTGGAACAACATGAGGGTGAGTAATTAATGACAGAATTTTCATTTTTGGATCAACTATCCCTTTAATAAATGCCGATACATAATCAAGGAAATGTCTTAGGGCAAGTTTTGACATTATAAAACCATATAAAATCGATTGCTAAGTCTCATGTTCTACAGATTTTTAACTTTCGTACCTACCATTTCTTTACGGACCCTCGTCCTCAACCACATTCTCTTTGGTCTACACAGATCCAAATTAGAACAACAATAAAAGTAGAAATCCTTACAGCTTGAATCCTGCTAGGAATCCATCATGCCCGCTATGTTCCACCAGAGAGAAAAGCATTCTGGTATTGATCATCTGTCTTTTTCTTTGTTCAGTAAACCCCACTGAGATCTTGTATTGATGCCAGACAGGAAACCCTTTCCCCCATAATTTGTCCCTAGAGGCTTTCTTTCAGGGAAACCCCCCTCTCCCATTAGTGGTATCACTTTCTGAGAAACTAGATTGTTCTGCAATATTTCCATAGTAATCATCAACGGTATGTATTTTTTCCTGTCCGATAGGTTCAACTCTTTCAGTCTGGAAGCCTCCTCGACCTGCCGCTATGACTATGTGGCGGTGTATGATGGAGAGAACACTCTGGCCCCACTAGTGGGGAAGTTCTGTGGACGTGAACTACCGCCCAACCTCAGATCTTCATCCAAGCACCTGTTTCTCGAGTTTGTTACAGACTCATCGGTTGCGGCAGAGGGTTGGAGAGCAACCTACAGTGAGACTTTAGGTAGTGTTTCTCCATCTCATACATCAGCAATGAGCCTCCTTGCAGCCTCCTTATTGGTCTGTTTGGTTCCATGAAGAAACTTTGACATTTATGGAACCTTTCCATTCCACAAAAGGTTCTTCACAGTGGAAAAATGGTTCTTTAAATTTTTGAAGAATTTGAATTTTAAATGGTTCCTTTAAGAACTGTTCACCGAAAGGTTCTGTGGGGAACCAAAAATGATTCTTCTCCCTTTTTTTCATCATCTGATTCAAAAGACTGTAACTGACATGTTGCTCACAGATCAAGATGTGTGATACTTTGACCTTGTTCCTTTATGGTTCTCATTTTGGAATAGTGTGAACAATGGGTGGAGGATTTCATAGTGAATCACAAAGACAAAGATCTCATTGAGGACTGAACAAAGTGTTCAGGGGTCATAAACAGTGTTCTTTGTAACAGCTTTGTGCTTTAAAGCGTCTGATGCACCAGTCACTTCAGGATGACCAGGCTCTTTAAGATCTGAGTTGTAAACACTTTTGTAGCTCGTCTCTGGGGGGTGTTGAGTGAACCGCCCCATCCTACAAGCGCCACTGTTGTTCTTTGAGAACAGCACAACTCATTCAGACCACAAGAGTGACCCTGACCGAAAACAAGACATAAGTCTTTATTGGCCAGTGCTGTCGAAGAGCCACTAAAGTGCTCCTAATTCTTTTGTAGTGTCCTACAATTTATATGCAAATAAACGCGGTATTTCTAGTTATATACATTTAATTCATTTATTGAATGAAATTTAACATTACATTATTTAATTTACTTTCCATTAATTGATTTTTATTTAAAAACTATATTATATTAACTTTATTTTAAGTGTACTTTTATGAACTAATATAATATTAACTTACAAATAATAAATATAATAAAAATATGTTTTACTTATAATTTTATTTACTTTTATAAATGTTATATAATAATATAATAATTACAAATATTTATATATTATAATATTAACTTCATACAATATTGACTTGCATGTTAGTTTTTAGTTTTAATACATTTTTACTTTTAGTCAGAGATACACACACACACACACACATATATATATATATATAGATATATACATTTAATTCATTCATTGAATGAAATTTGACATTACATTATAATTAAATTTTTATTAAAAAACTATATATTAACTGTATTTATTCATTTTAAGTGTAATCTTAATTGTATTACCTTTATAATATTAACTTCAATTTATATGGAGAGGAGAGAGAGGAGGAGGTTATGAATGATGGGGAGGCAGAGGAGAGACAGGAAAGAAACAGGCAGGGGTGTCATGCACCAATTTGTTTTGAAGGAAGACCAGTGGCAGTTCTGACACCCTTGGACTGGCAAAATTGAATATGTAGCCTATGTATATGTTTTTATATAGATTAGGCTCAGTAAGATTACTTTGATTCAGCAAGGATGCATTAAATTGATCAAAGGTGACAGAAAAGACATTTAGAATGTTACTTTTATTTCAAATAAATTATGTTCTTTTGAACTTTCTATTTATCAAAGAATCCTGGAAAACGCATTATGGTTTCCTTGCACAGCGTTTCCAAATTGATAATACTAAGAATTGTTTTTTGAGCAGCAAAACAGCATATAATGAGATATATATATATATATATATATATATATATATATATTATTGTAATATTAACATCATATAATATTAACTTAAATGTTAGTTTTTAGTTTTAGCTTAGCTTTACTTTTAGTCAGAGACATGGTATCATGCAGAAGGACGTTCTTATTCAAAGAATATTTGTTTGAACAAAAATGTGTACGCCTTGAGAACAAGATGAGTACATTTAATCTGCTTTTTTATTATTTGAAATAAATTTGGTAATAGTTCATTTGGACAACTTTTACATTAGGATTTGAATCTAAGACAAAAAGACAAAAACTCACATTTTGTCACTTTTGTGGACTGTACTGCCTCTAGCAGGTGGTTTCTTGAAAGCACATCCTACAGTTGTTGTAAATCTCTCTCACTCTCTCTTTCTATCTCCTCATCCATGGTTTGCTCCAGGTCCTCAGCAGGGCTGTGGTGGTTACTTGTCTTCTTCCTCTACCGGAACGTTTGGTTCTCCTGATATTGACATGAATGGTCAGTACGAGCCACGTATGGACTGTATGTGGACCATTGCAGTGGAGGTCAATAAAGGCATTAACCTCACATTCACATCCTTTGAGCTCGAAGACTCCACTGGAACCCTCTGCAGATATGATTATGTCAAGGTAAAAGCTGTCACATATAATATAACAAATTAAAATGCAGCATCATTTCCAACACAGAACACTCTATATCTTTATACTTACATCTTACCCATCTCCAGATCTATGATGGTGACAGTGCTAGTTATCCATTGGTTGGCACATTCTGTGGAGATGTAGTACCTGCCCCCTTCGTCTCGGCCAGTAACTTCCTGACTGTGCACTTCATCTCGGACGGCACTGTTCAACGCCGTGGCTTCATTGCCACCTATAGCACAGTGGACAGTAAGATTAAACTTTATGTCCTGATGCTTTTATCACTGCAGGTTTGAATCACTCATGAAAAATGCTTTTCCATACTTTAGGTCTTTGTGGTGGAGCATTCAATGCCACAGCATCATCTCAGACCATCACATCCCCATATTACCCCAACGCCTACCCGCCGTTCGCCTCTTGCCGCTGGGTGCTGGATGCTCCTTCTCAGGAGGTGGTGAAAGTGTCTGTTCAGCAGTTTCATCTGGACTCCAGCCAGAGCTGCACCAGCAACTTCCTGGAGTTTAAAGACTTCCCTGTGGTGAGACTCAATCAATCGCCCGACCACAGCTTCACCAAATAACTCAAACAATATAGAATCTCTCAGGTCACAATGGCTGATCATTTTGGTAGGCTAGTCTGCTTTTTTTTAAATCTATTTACAATGAGACAATGATCTAGTCCAGCAAAATGAGAGCTTTTTGAAGACACTTTGCCAAATGGATAAATTTGAAAATGCTAAGTGGATAAATTTGAAAATGTGGATACATTTGGAGAGCGTATTTAGACGAAAACACAGTTTTCAAATCTATCCAATTTAATAGTGGACATAGTTTTTAATGTTATTTTTTATTTTACATGTAATATTTATTTAAATGTAATTTATTTATTTATTTAATTTTTTTGTGCTTTTGTCATTTTTATTATTATTATTATTATTTTTTTTTTTCATTTCAGTTTTAGTTTTTGTTCAATTATAGTTTTTCATTTCTTTTCAGTTAGTAATTTCAAGGCTTCAGCTTAAACATATAATATTTGTATTTTATTTAATTTCATCTTTATTTTAATTAACAAAATGTTTTTAATAGTTTTAGTTAACAATAATAACAATCCTAATTGTCCCAAGATTACACTGGATTGCAGAACAAAGCACTGTTTACATAGCAGTAAAATCCATTCAGAATAAAATTTGTTTATTAATACTGCCTATTATTGTTTTCTTTAAATAACAACTAAACATTTCAAACAGTCGTATGCATTTTCTCGACCTTATTGTATTTGTCACTTGATCTCAAATATGCATTTAAAATATTGTGGAAAAAAATTATATATATATATATATATATATATAAGTAATTTTTTATGATTATTATTTTTAGATTTACTATTTCATCTTATTTAAACATAGTTTTCTACTATATCTATCTTTCCACTGCCATTTATCATACAGCAACATATTCAAGTTTAATGAAGTTTGCTATCTTCACTTTAAAACTTTCAAGTTGTATTTTGGCAGCAGAATGTCTTTACCATTTTTGTTTGAATTTTTGTCTCTCAGGGAGATTATGGACAGGCTCATAAGTTCTGTGGCACTGACTCACATGTGCCAGACTTCTACAGTTATGGCCGCACCATGCACATCACCTTCAAATCAGACGTCTTCATGACTGGCGATGGATTCAGCCTCACATATCAGGTGGCAGGTGAGTCCTTTCCCTATGATTACTAGAAGTGTTTTACTCTTGCTGGTGTGGTTATATTATGTCTGAACATTATGTATCTGCAGGTTGCAGCAGGGTGTATGAACAGGAATACGGTTACCTGAAGAGCCCAGGCTGGCCTGACATATACCCTCATAGTCTTGAATGCAGCGTCGTACTGCAGGCCCCTCAGAACAGCGCCATCTCTCTGTTCTTCACCAGTTTTGATGTGGAAAATCATCCTTCCTGCAACTTCGACTATCTTGAGGTGAGTATAAACATACTGAATTGCCACCAGATTAACAGCAATGTGAAGAAAAAATGGGAAAGCACAGCAGAATGGAGAGCGGTTTGAGACAAAAACACTGTCTTCAAATATATCTGATTTAATTATGGACAGCCTGAGTAATAGAAAAAATCTGATTTTTTTTTACATTTTAAGTTTAATTTTTTGTGCTTTTGTCATTTTTATTATTTTTTTTTATTTGTTTTTATTTCAGTTTTAGTTTTTGTTCCATTATAGTTTTCATTTTAGTTTTTTCTTTTCTGTTGGTAATTTCAATGCTTCAGCTTAAACATCCGATATTTGTATTTTATTTCATTTCAGCTTTATTTTAATTAACAAAATGTTTTAGTTAACAGTAATAACCGTTTCAATCCTAATTATCCCAGGATTATCTGAAGGTACATAATCCAGTGTAGATTAACAGCAGTGAGAAGAAAAATGTGAAAACACTTATAGAATGAAAATGCAGTATACGCTAAATACTACATACTAATAAAAACAAAAAACGAACAAACAAATGAATAAATAAAACGAAACATTTCAAGCAGTAGTATACTACATTGTCACTTGACTTGATCATCTAACATTGTTACTGTAAACTAAAACGAAAACTATAATAATTCTCGTTAACTGAAATGAAATAAAAAAAATTTCAATAACAAATATTGAAAGGAAAACTTGAAAATTTGAAATGCTCCCCTAGTAAATAAGTAGAATAAGAATTAAAATTAGTTTGTGTTGAAGTGCTAAAATGACTAAAAACTGAAATAAATCTAAATTAAAGCGAAATAGAAATGTTTAAAGAACAAAATCTAATAAAAAAATTACTAAACCTTAAACTAAAATTAAACTTCAAATATAAAAATAAAAGCTAATTCAAAATATCAATAAATACTATAATAACCTGTAAATAAAATTAACATAACATTGACATGACCTAATTACGTTCATGTTTAATTCAGCTGTGCCCAGTTTTTGTTTTACACAAATAATATAAAAAATAAATAAATAAATAAAAACTGCCCAAAACAAAACAATTGGTTAATTTTATTTTTATTTTTTTTGAATCATAGCCAATATTACTTCAGCTTGTCAATGTCACATTGGTAATTAGGTGTCAAGGCGAGTATATTGCATTATGGGATATACCGGTAGTACCCAGTGCAGTATACTCCTTTGCCACACATTTGGGTAAATGCAGATGCAGATCCGAGTATTGCATACATACAGCAGAAATACTAGAAGTATGGTAATAATAGTATGGTACTATGTTGTGATGATGATAATGTAGCTGTTTAATGTACGTTTATTTCTGCTGATGTAGGTCAGAAACGGCAGTACTGCCACATCGCCTCTGTTAGGGAAGTACTGTGGAAGCACACTGCCCAATCCTGTCTTCCCAGGAAGCAACCAGCTCTTCCTATATTTCAAGAGTGACTTTACTACAGCCCGTAACGGCTTTGAGATCACCTGGACTTCCTCTCCACAGGGTAAACACAAACGCTTGTTATATTACGATTGCCGCAGACAGTCCAACACTGCTAAAGGTTTTATGCGAGTCCTAATTGCGTTTCTTTTGTGTGTCCAGGTTGTGGTGGTGTGTTATATGGAGACCACGGCTCTTTCGCCAGTCCAAACTACCCTGGCACTTATGCCAACGGCACTTCCTGTGAGTGGGGAATTAGGGCTCCTAGCGGCAGAGTGGTGACGGTCACATTCAACCAGATCAGCATTGATGATCCAGGAGACTGTGAGAACAACTTCTTGAAGCTGTATGATGGACCGGATGCTAATTCACCTGTTGTTGGGCCGTACTGTGGAACGGTATGTGTGAAAAAAATTACACTCCTAGCATCTGTATTACTATATATTCTACATATGTATTACTTTTATTCAGCAAACACACATGAAATTGATTCTATTTCATTCTATTTCAAATAAATGCTGTTCTTTTGAACTTTCCATTCATCCGAGAATCCTGAAAAATGTATATCAGTTTTTTCAAAAATACGAAGCAGCACAGCTGTTTAACATTGATAATAATAAGAAAAGTTTCTTGAGCAGCAAATCAGCACATTAGAATGATTTCTGAAGGATCATGTGACACTGAAGACTGGAGTAATGATGCTGAAAATTCAGCTTTGCATCACAGGAATAAATGACATTTTAAAATGTATTCAAATAGAAAAGAGTTATTTTAAATTGCAATAATATTTCACAATATTTTACTGTATATTTGATCAAATAAATACAGCCTTTGTCAGATTCCACATTCTTACCAGCCACACTACTTTGAACAGTAGTGTGTATATACTCAAATTATACTGTATATGGATATGTAATTGTTCTTTGCTTTTTTTGCAGGAGACAAATATCGCTCCTTTCAGAGCTTCTTCAAACCTTGTGTTTGTGAAGTTCTCAGCCCAGTCTGCCGTTCTCCCATCTGGGTTCAGACTCACCTGGAGCAGCTGAGAAGAAATTTGAAAAATAAATATTCATACATACACACGCACGCACACACTGAAACTTGTGAACACACTTTGCAATCATGTAAACAGTCACATAAATAATACAATATGAACCATTATTTGTAGATTATTGTGTAAAGAATGAATTTATGTATGTATTTTTGATGCCTTTTTGGAAAATAAAGATGTTTAATGAAGTTCTAGTTTTATTGTTCTTAAGTCAGGGCTTTTTTTGAGGGACAGTCATAAAATCATTAAGACATTGAAAAGATCTCTTTTGTGATTTTTCTCTGGATTTTTCAATGGAAAAGTCTCTTGAAGTGTGTGTATCTCTAACAGTGTCAACTACACAAATCAATATCCATACAAAAGCTGTGAATGTTTGGCTGTTTTTTTAAGTGTTTAGTATATTTTCATCTGTCTGATATCCTCAGACAGAGGCTACGCGTGAAAATAAAGAGATGGCACATTCGGAGGGAGATAAAAGCTGTGTGCGGCAGATCGGACATTGCTAATGGGTCTGTCTGCTCTTTAGAGGGAGACAGGCTTCAGCTTTCTTCATGCAATGCTTCTATATAGAGAAAGCAAACAAACATTTCATCTAATATTTCATTTCTTTCTTCTAAACTCTGCAAAATGCTCCCATCAATGTCAAAGAAATGTCTGGGAAAAGAGGTCCCAGCAGTCTGATCAACAGAAAAACAGAGCTTTTGAGACATTACCATCTGTATTAAGGCCTTTCTCACGATTTTCGCAATCATTTTATAACGGTTTTTCCGTAACTTAACAGGGTCAAAGTTCATGAGAAGCTATGAGTAATAAAAATGTGTTGACCTTGGAAACATTTACTACTGATGCAGTGGGGAATTGATATTTTCTGCCTATAATAACGCAGATAAAAATAAGAGAATATCAAAAAAGAAGTGTTTTTATATATATAAAAACTGTTTTTTACTTGAGTTTAAGATGAAATGTTTGGACCAGTGTTATTTTAGTACTATTATAGATACTTTTATAATTTATTGTTGTATTTCAGTTTTAGTTATTTAGTACAAGTTAAACTAAATGAAAATGAGAAATGTTGCCTTGGCAACTAACAGAAGTAATTGGTTTTATTATATTATTTTTATTTTATTTCAAGTAATGATTTTTTCTTTTCCGTTTTAGTTAACTACAATTATAACCCTGATTTGGACATATGCCAACACAAATTTCATAACTGGTTTTACTTATTGTCATTTTATTTTTAATGTGATAACAAATGTGATATTTCATGGTAAAAATCCATTATGGTAACAAAATGGCTGATATTCAATAGTGTAGCGTAAATTAACATAAAATTTACAATTTTCAACCAATGTTCTCTAGTTCTCAGTAAATCTAACAATTGACAAGCCATAAAATCCACAATCATTCCAGACAAAACCAGAGCTCAAATTCAGTAATATGCTGGAGGTCTGCTCTACTCGTGGTACAGTAAGTTCCTCAGGCACATCATTTGAGAACACCTCATAAATCAAACAGCAGAACAGTCACACATTCATACATTCTCAGCGCTCACTTTGGGCAAGTGTAAGTGCTTACAGCTCCTTAATGTAGATTGTAATAAAACACACCTCCCTGTGCCCTCGTGCCATGTCTGACTGTCCGATCTCCACTGGCTTCTGGCTGAGGGTGTTGGTTAAAGATTTTACAACATAAACAAGCCTTGGCCCTGGAATCCAGAACTCCCGCTCTGCAAAGCAAAGTTCAACCACGCTGAAGCATCTGTTGCCACTCACCAAATATAATCAAGCCTATAAATAGAGCCACTGTTTTTCAGTCCCCCATTGAAATGATCAACCCTGTGAGAACCAGACACGGACAGAGAGAGACAGGCAAAGGAAGAACCAAGATCCAGTCTGTGGATGGTCCCACCTGGGACGACAGGAACCCAAGAGAAGAGAGAAGTGTCGCCGTACCTCTGCCCCATGCCAGAAGGAGGAGACAGCGAAGACTCCTATCGCTCTTCCACCTTGTGCAGACGTCTAAACAATGTGTCTCCCTTTGAAGGTAGGTAATAGCTGGGGATCTGGGTGGTAGACAACAGCTGCCCACACCTGCTGCTGGATTCCCTAATGTCACATGAAATAAATTAATATTTATATAGTTACATAAATACACACTGGATGTTGGTAGCATTGGTTGTAAGGTGTTGTTCATTTATGTTAATGTACTGTATGTAATTAATTATTTTAAAATCATTAAAAAAACTCACAAGTAAAACATACAGAGGCATAACACCCATTGATATTTTAGTGTAACTGAGATATTATAATTTTGTTTAACATTTTGAATTCCATTTTAATTTTAGTTAACGTTTTAGTAACTTGTTGTGTGTTTTTACTATTTTAATTGGTTATTGTTTTAAACATGTTTAAAAATATGTAAAGTAATTTTTTATTTCAGTTTTAGGCTATTTTAGTAATTGTCATTATACTGAAAATAAATAAATAAATAAATGTATTTTTGGTGTGAAATATTTTATTTATAATAATTATAATATATGATAGTAATAAACCAATAGGCTATGGTAATAAAATTACTCATATTCAGGTTATATGTCAGAATACTGAAGACGGATAAAATAATTTTACTAACTGTATATTATACAAAAATAATATATATTAATTATATTATATATTTTTTTAAATGTAGCTACTGACAAACATAAAATCCACATTCATTCATTTTTGACAAGACATTGATTCTGTTTGTAACAGGCTGCAAGACTGCACACTGGGATTCATTATATTAAATGTAAACCGTATACCTTGAACTGTACTGGGTTATTTTATCATGAAGAAAAATCATTGATTTTTAGTTTCATGACAGAGATCTGCAGTATTAAGAATCCAAGGGGAAGAACTAAATAAAAACTGATTAAAAACGTCTGGAGCCAATGTTAAAATAATTAAAGATTAACACTTACAATCAGAACTAGTTCAATACTTCAATGTCTGTAGGCGCCTATACAATTTCCTATAATATTACAAGTAAATTATTGTTGTAATCAAACAGGTTAAAAGCTAGTATTTAACCAGAAACAAGTCTAACTTTATTTTTGCATCATATGTACACATCACTGTGGTGGCTGTTACATTTGAAAGCGCATTGGCAGAATGCTTTTCCACACGTTTCCTCTACATTTTCATTGATTGGTCGAATGATACGCACTGTTGCAGCGGAGCGCGTTCTGATTGGACATATCTGTGCCTTATTTCAACGATTCCGCCGACTTTCTAGCAGCTGATTGGACAGCGGAACAGAAGTCTGTCTGACATTCTTTTCCTTGCTCTGGACCCCGGAAATACCCTTTTATGGAAGGAATGCGAGACTTTTACAGACATACTATCAACTTCCGGTTGGGTGTGAGCGACTGTGCTGCTTCAAAAATATCTGGTTTTACTGCCCTGAGGGCTCGGATATTTGTTTTCTGTTTTCCCTGCATTTTCCGTACAGTTAGGTAAATACTGAGTGAGTTCTTTATATGCTTGTAATGACTGGATGTGAACCACTATTTGAGGCAAAAGTGGCAAAACTCTCTTCGTAGAGATTCTTCTTGATTCGGGTCTTGTATTTGCTAATATTTTCTTGCAGAAAATGTCAAAGTCTCTGAAGAAGATAGTGGAGGAGAGTCGGGACAAGAACCTACCGGAGGTGGACATGTGTGACAGAGGGATATCAAACCTGCTGGATATTCCTGGACTATGTGAGTCTGCAGAGTTACTATACTAGTTTAACGTTTTATGTTGTGTTGATGTTAATTAAAGTGTGGGTAATGAATCTTATTTGTTTACACGGTGACCAATTGGCTGTTATAGTAAGTTGTCTCTATTGACAGTGTATGAGTGGTGGCGTCATCACGTTGACGTCATCATGCAATGACATCATCAACTAAACGTGTCATTATTTTTGTTTTGTAGTCACTTTATCCAACATAACCCAACTGGTCCTGAGCCACAACAAGCTGAATGGTAAGTTCTTCATATCTCAAGAGAAACGTCTTTTTGTATTTTTTCTTTTAATTTCATTATATTGCACACATATATTTACATGCAAACTTTATGCAATACGTCTTTGAGAAATGATAAACCATTCTGTAAGTTTTATAGCATGGCTTTTCCTAGGGTTAGTGGTAGTGGTTGTGATATTTACTTAGAAGGCAAATAATTGTCGAAAAAGCTATTTCATGAATCTCAGATACGAAATCCAATTTAGAAAACAACCAAGTACAAGGTAAAAAAAGTATGATTATGAAGGTGTCATGTCAGTCTTATGCACACCCCTTCAAGTAAAGTGTAACCGTTACTTTTTTATATGCAAACTATAGGGTAGTAGAATTGTAGAATTATTGAATTTAAATCAAATAATATTTGTCTTGTTTGCTTGCTTTATTTTAGATGCTTTTATAACGGTTAATTTATTTAATTGTTTATTGCATTATATTTCACAATTTTACAAGTTTAATATTGTATTGAGACTGCAGGTTCATGAGGGTTGTTGAAAGAACTGGTTAACTCCACTAGATGGCTGTCTTGCCCTTACTGATCACTGGTTGTTTGATTTTATATTCTGCTCCGTTTAAGTATCCTAGTAAAAAAGAGTGAAGATTAGTAGTTAGTAACATCTTCATTGCAATCTGTGAACATTCACTTTCTTTTTTCTTTTACATGTGAGTTTAAAGATAGTCTGCATAAGTTAAGAGTTATTCAGAGAGTTATTATTAGGAGAAATATGTGTTTCAGTGTAGTTTGGGGCTTGTTTTCCCCTCCCACGTAATCTTTGGGTCCATGTTAACCGCTCTGAGCCATGTTCACTCTCATCTGATTTGTACAGGAAGTGTTTGGTCGGGGATTTGTTTGTTTATGCAGGAATCTTTTCCCTTAATCTCCATGAAGATTCCGGTGTGATAATGCACATATCTGTCAGGTAGCGTCTGTAGTAATGATCAAAGCCTTTTAATACGATTTATAAGATATGAAGATGAGGAAATGACTCCTTCAGTTACGGGTCACACCACT